TTAATCAAGGGCAAATCTCTGTGCGTGACAGATTTCTTCTAAAAGAATGAAATGTGCCTGTTGGCTTTTTTTTTAAAACTTGTAGAACTAATCTTATGCCAAAAAGTAGGTCTACTCTAGACAGGTGATAAGAAGGACTGACCCTGGAAAAAGAACACGTTACTATGTTGCCATTCTTTCCATCACTGTCTGATAACGTTCTCACTCTGTTCTTTAAATTCTCCTAAAAAACACCTAACAAAACCAAGCCATGCCATTGCTGGTATTTCTAATATTAAGACCACGCTACAAGAAAACTTTCTTGAAGAAATCAGGTCACTGTAAAGCTCATAAAAAAGTAAACCACATCACAATCTGTTTCATCCTGATTCCCTAATGCACAGCAAGATAGGCATCAAGCACTTGGGAAGGCCTCAAATTAGCTTAGCTTTGTTTTGTTTACCCAAAATCAGTTCAGTGAAACCACACAGCCACAGCCAGTCGACTGATCAAAATAGATTATGGTCTACCAATCACTTTCCGCAATGCCTGCAGTCATCCAAATCACCCCGCTATCTCGCCAGCTATCTATGTTCTGGCTTCTGAACCAAAAATCAGGCTCTGCTTAGTCTCCACTTGTAACTGCATTCCCAACTACCCCATCTTGAGTTTTGGAACTAGATCCACAGCCTCCTGAGTTTCATCTTCATGGCTGTCCACAAATACAGCATTCTGCTAAAATCACACTAAATCTTCGGACAAGAAATCTAATCCTGCTCATTTACAAACCCACCGGAGACATTTTTAAGCATGTGAGCACAGATAATATCGTCAACATCAGCAGAACTTGCTCAGAATTAAACATGTTCCTTAGCGTATTTCTAATAAGGCCTTACACTGGTGAAACCACGAGAAGGAACTACCTGTTACCTATAATCAGTAATTTAACACTTTCTTGATTAGTAAAAACTGTGACTACCAGGCACATTTTTGTTATACTGCTGAAGTCAATCCTGACATCCCATAAAAGATGATGGCTCAGATCTTTGCAATTTTTTTCTTCCTTACAGTTTTTTCACATTATATGGACTACTGAATAGAGTGTCAAAGAAAGAGTCTTTGTTTAGCCCAATTTTCATGCCTATGCTTCATTATTTGCACTGCAAAAGCACTTATACGTCCCAGGAAATAAGATGCATGCTGAAATACATGAAATACATGTTACAGGGGTAAAAAATGTATTGGGAAACAGAATTTGGTCCACAAACTGTGGTTCTTAATTTATCTTCAATGAGCAAACCACCTCTCCCTTACAGGAAGAAATCCTGTAACATAGATTTTTACTTCAAACTGTACTGAACAAAGTCAGTGGAAAGGAATGATTTGGAGACAGCGTGGGTATCTTAAGGGCACTTTGTACTATTTGCCAAAATTACCAGCATTTTGGGTTTTCCTGATAAAAGTGTTCTTCATAATGATCCTCACAGCAGGCTTATGAATTGGTTGAATCATCTTGTAACTACATCTACTGCCATCCAGAGGTAATTGGCAAAAGTTTGAAGAGCAAATCTAAGTTAATGGTATCACTAACAGTGAGACACGAATACTGTACATTAGCGCAGTTCCTATCAAACACAGACTTCAAAGCTGTAGTCCCACTGAACAGAAACTACAAAAATAAAAGTTAAGTGGGATAATTCTTTATTCTTTTCCAACAGAAAAACAAAACCAACAGTATATCACATTGATGTTGTAGCTCTTTTGGTGCGTCACATATATCCTGCATTATGCTTTCTATTAATCTTTTAGACAAGTGTATCTGCAAATTACACTCTGACACCTTATGTTTTTCACGCAGACCTCCACTGTGGTTAACAAGAAACAACCCAAAACCCTACAGCCTTCTTCACCCCAAAGAAAGTCTGCGCTTTGCAACAGCATCCAGTCTCTGTCTGATCATCTCACAGTAAAGAAAGTAAGCAAACACTAAGGAATTAAACACATACACACACGCCGTGACATGTATTACTGCCGTTCACACTGAAGAGATAGAGAACCTCATGGAGAGTAATGATGAAATTGTTTAAGTATCTGTGGATTGTGAGTGCCCACAGCTAGGATTAACTGTTTTCAAGTCCTATGGCTGAGTACTCACCAGCCACAGGCAGGTCACGAAATGCAATACTTGAGATTCTAGAACTAGGAACTCAAAAGCAGAGATGATAAAAATGAATACAAATTTCTAAAAATTCATCCTTTAAAAAATTGCTGAAAAAGTCTATTAAGAAAGCTGGAATAAACATGAGATAATAAAACCATTTGTTTCCTAACAGCTATTTCTATAATTCAGCATTGCTATCACCCCTTCATCTTTTCAAAAGCCCAAACTTTCAGCAGTACACACACTTAACGGAAGCTGTGTACCTGCTTGTAATTCTCAGCTCTAAACTGGGAGTTACAAGCTTGAAGCGTGGCTATGATTACTACAGTGAGCATCTTGAAGCCTCTTGTCACAATGGGATAGTTTCCCAAAATACCCATGACTCTCTTTACAAAACTTGTTTCGTTTACAAACCCATTCAAATATTTTTCCAACCACCAACCACATCGTGAAATCACAAACTCAGAAACATCCTGTCTGATTAATACACCGTCGCTATATACAGCAGTGATGATTTTGTAGTCAGGCTTCACTAACAGGCAACATTGTACTGAGGACACTTGAAGCACAGTCGAATGAGGCTTCCTCTTTATGTCCTGTGCTTACAGGACAAAAAGTTTGGCACTGCCAGAAAACTAAGCAGGTATTTCTTTCCTCTACGCAACAGGAGGAGGTCTAAACAAAAACTGCAAAACTTGTTTGTAATAAATACAGCCTGACTCTGCCAGGGACTACAACAAAACCATCCAAGACTTCAACGTGGTCAGGGTTTCTCCCTCGAAAAGACGCAATAAACTTTTACAGAATTATTGTCTAAACAGGTATTTAGATTATTTCTTTGTAAGCATTTTTTTGCAATAGTTTTAAGAATAACTTGTAACATCTACTTGTGACAGCTAATTTGAAAGATTTTTCATAAACAGCAAAACAAATCAAAACAGAAAAAAAAAAGGCAAACAAAAATGTGAAAGCATTTACAGATTTCCTCTGTTGATAATAATTGTTACTGTTGAATCATGTATTTAGAGATTAAATACACAGGATTAATTCATTGCTTCCAGCAATGAAACACACAACAAAGATCAGTAAAAGAAGCAAAAAGGCCATTAAAAAAATTCACCTTTGAACTCCATCTGAGACCAAGTACAGAATCTCCTGTCACTAGTCCGTAATCATAAGGGTGCCCCTAGTAGACTATTATTGCAAAGTAACACCAAATCAACTAATTAAAAGAACCAGATTAAAAGACCCAGTGCAGTCACGTATACTGCACTGGGACCACTCATAGAGTAAATGACGATTTCTGGAGTACATAAAAAGGCTGAAATTCCATTCTACACAGCAGTTGCCAGAAAGTAATTTTTACATTCTGAGATTCTTTTTTCCCTTCCTTAGCAGGTTCATGCTATCAGGTAAAACAAGAAGACTGATTCCTGGCAGGTACTCCTCCTGATATTCCAGTGACACACAGTAATCATGAACACTTAAAGCAACTTGGGAAGTGCAATAGATATTACCAATTATGTCCCCTCAGTCCCAGACGTTTACCTGAAGGCTTCTGGGCTTTGTACAAATATAGACAAAAAGAATACAAAGAGTTAGGTGCAGAAGGATAAAACGGGAGGGTACAGGTATCAGTGTAAAGGTACTGACCAGACTGGACCCTGCAGTTCAAAAGTACAAATCTATGCCTAAATCTAAATAGTGCATGTGCATCTCTTCAAAGAACTGTCTGAAAAGTTAATTTTGTCTGTAATTCCAGGTGAAAGTATGAGCTGTCCAAAACAGGGAATAAAATATTATCCAAAGCAATGCCATCTTGTGGTAAACAGGAATACTGCCTATGCCATCTGGCCTGGGTTTAAATGCATAGGGACTCTGCTGCTCCATAGTACACAAATCATGCTCATAACTGCTGACTTGGGAAGAAAAAAAAAAAAAAAAAAAAAAAAGATTTTATCATAGCTAGAGTTACAAAGTGTAGGTTGTGATACACTAGGCATTAGAATTTGAGAATCAGATATTTGTCTTCATTTTACAAGGATGGCAATTTATTTTCCTTCCAACAATACTGCTGTGGCATTATACTCAGAAACGGTTCCATCACTCCAAACACAATGTAAAGGCAGATCTGTGCTATAACTTAGCAGAGAATCTTATGTAGTATAAAACCGTGACAACTCCCATCACTTTCCTTGGCTACAGTTAAGTGCGATCGTAAGCTTGTTTTCGGGGCACAAGGGATCAGCTCACAATGTCACGGCCACAGAAGCCAAATCACTGTATAGCTATAAAAGGATTCTTCCCTAGCCCATTCATTTAAAAATAGCAGAGCGGTATCTCTGCCCCAGCTGACCTTTGGGTGCACACAGGAATACCCCATCACTTCGCTTAGCATTATGCCTGATGAGACGCCTGCCAGGTGATACTACGGCTTTCCAAACGCCGTTCCTGCCCTCCCTTCCCTGCGGGGAGACTTGCCCCGGTCTCAGTGGAGCTGCAATACAGTCCTCCTGTAGCTCTGGCCCTGCGACAAGCGCTTCCAGGAGCTGCTCTGCGGCAGTGACCGTCCCACGTAACGATATGCTACCACAACACACCCCCCCACACACACAAAATCCATGGAAAAAGTATTTTCCTGTTTCTCCGCCTCAGAGCTGGGATGCCATGGCATGGCCCTCAGGCAGGCAGAAGGCAGGGGAAGCTGAGAGGCCCCGCGTTCCCCTCACGCCACAGATTTTTTTCCCCCCCTCAGCGCCACTGGTGGCGGCGGGAGGCGGGTTTGGGGCCGCCCGGGACTACAGCTCCCAGCAGGCAGCGCGCCGAGCCCGCCCCGCCCCGGTGGCGCGCTTCCGGCGCGCGGACCGGGAAGAGCTTTGCTGCCTCTTCCGGGAGGGGGTGCGCGGCGTGGAGCGGCCCGTCCCGTCGCCATGGCGGCCGTGCGGGTGGAGGAGGTGCTGGCGGCCGCCGAGGAGGAGGAGGCGGAGAAGCGGCGGAGCGTGACGGTGGAGAAGGAGCTGGAGCTGGAGTTCGACCTGGGCAACCTGCTGGCGCTGGACCGTAACCCGGCGGCGGCGCTCCGCGGGGCCGGCCCGCGGCGGGAAGCGGCGCTGCGGGCGCTGGCCCGCGGCAACACGCAGCTGCTGGTGGCGCGGCTGTGGGAGCTGCCGGCCGAGCGGGCCGGCGGGGCCGGGGGCCCGCTGGTGGCGCGGCTGCCCGAGCCGGCCTTCCGCCTGCCGCGGGAGAAGCCGCCGCCGCGGCCGCGGCCGCCCACGCGGTGGGAGCAGTTCGCGCGGCTGAAGGGCATCCGGCGGCGCAAGCGGGCCTCGCTGGTGTGGGACGAGGAGGCCAAGGAGTGGCGGAGGCGCTGGGGCTACCGGCGGGCGGGCGGCGACCCGGCCCGCGCCTGGCTGGCGGAGGTGCCGGCGGGCGCCGACCCGGAGGAGGACCAGTTCGCCCGGCTGCGGCGGGAGAAGCGGGAGCGGGTGGCCCGCAACGAGCTCAACCGCCTCCGCAACCTGGCCCGAGCCCACCGGGCCGGCACCGCCGCTGCCCCCCTCCACCCCACCGGCCACCAGAGCCGGGAGGAGCTGGGCCACGTCGCCCGCGTTGCCCGCCTCTCCACCGCCTCGCTCGGGCGCTTCCAGCCCCGGCTGCCCAAGGAGCCGGCGGAGCTGCCGTCCCGCAGCGGTGGGAGGAAGCGTCGCTTCGAACCGCTGCTGGGTGACCTGGCAGCCGAGCGCAGCCGGCAGCTGGAGCTGCTGCGGGACATGGGCAGCAAGAAGCCGGTCCTCGACATCACCCGCGCTGTCAACAAGCAGCTGCGCCAGGAGGAAGCCGAGGCGGCGGCCGCCAAGGGCAAGAAGCAGTCGCAGCGGGGGAAGCGAGGTCGCCGGCAGCAGCGGGCTGGCCGCAGCGGCAAAAAGAGCGGAGCCCGGCGGCGGCAGCAGCAGCAGCGGCCGGTGGGCAGCAGCACTGGCGGTGGCAAGAGAAAGAAGGCATGAGGGACTGCGTGCGGCACGGGGCCAGGGATGCCCGCTGAGGTGCGGGAAGGGACTGTCGCTGCCAGCCTCCCCCCTACTGCTCTATTCCACACCTATTTGTCAATAAACGCAGACCGGCTTTTCTGAAATGTCCTGCGTTTGGCTCTTCCCTGGCAGTCGAGAACGGCTGTGTTCGCTGTCCAAGGGGAGCTGGTGGTGTATCGAGGGGGTTGGGAGCCCTCAGTTTCGCAGGGACGGGCAGGTAACACTTCACAGCTGGCCGTGGCTGCACAATTTCCAGGCAGGACTGAGGCTGGGCAAAACTGTCCCTCGCTCAGATAGCTGGGATGGGGAGTGGACCACAGCTGTGATCTGTGTTTTGATCAAATAACAGCCTGCTCAGATGCAGGTACAGTCAAAGGACAGGATGTGGCTGCTGCTCTCTGCTCTGGGCAAGTGGCCTGATGGTGGAGCTCTTGCTCTGTAAGCCAACTTCTGCTGCTCAGCTCTGGTATTCAGGTTTGGTTACAAAAGGAACGTGAAAACTTACTGTAAGATTTATTGCAGGGCATAGGAAATTGTATAGATGTCCTAGAGAGTTCTGTTGATTAAAAAGTCAAAGCTGGTAACCAGCCACTGAATTTAACAGAAGAATCTTTGTATGGAACAAGAGGTTAAAACCTAAATTTTCCCCTGTATTGACAGTAATCCACCATTTCATAGAAATAGTTTCACAGTACTTTTCTTTACCAAGTGCTTTGAGATCAGGTAAGGGAAATGATCTCAGACTTCTTATTGCTCTTGAGCTTTGTAGTGCCTCCTGTACACTTGAAATCAAAACCACAATTTGCTGTCCCAGTGTGTAGCTTAGCTGCAGGAAGGATGCTGTTCCCTGGGGCCATTCGTGGTAAGAGGGGTAGTAAAACAACATCCAGCAATCTCGAGTAAATTAAGTTCTCAAACTTTCAAGTAGTAAACTTGTGAGTGGTTAATGATAACGTAATATTTAGCTGTAAATGAGTTTTTTGAAAAAGCGAGGTGACTCTGTAGCAGTTCTGTTCCCTCGTTCCGTGGCAGTTCAGTAGGATGGCAGCTTGAGCCCAGTCGAAAAGCAAAACCTTTGTGTAAGGTGGCTGTTGAGGGCAGAAGGGGTATGAATGCCTTGGAGCTGAAGGGATGTGGGTGGCATTGACAGACTGTAGTGCTCAACCTATGGGCTTTGCATAGGATGTGCTCTTTGCCTGTTAAATGTTTCTCGTCACTGTGCTGAGCAGTCTGCACCACCATGGGCTCTTTCAGACTTGCCGGTGGCAGGAATGGTCTTGCAGGCACAATCCACTGATACCAAGCCTTCAGTGTAAGTAGATAGGCAAAGCAGGGGCAAAAAGCACTTGGACAAGTGGAAAAAGTTGCTTTGAGATGCGTTCCAGGCCTCTGATCTTCCTGCCATTTCTTCAGGGCACATCTTGTAACTGCTCAGCTAGAGAACATGGCTTTTTTTCCATGCGTGCACACACCCCCAGTATTTTATGCTGATGATAATGTTACTGGTGAACTTTCTGCACTAAATTCCTGGGCAGTTTGTGTGTTTCCAGCAGCAATGCGGAACCTGGGCAGAGGCGCAGGCGCTCAGGGGCTGCTGCTGCTTTCTGGCTCTCCCAAGTGGGTAAAGGTGTCACGGCTTCAGGCGGGTGGCCCTGGCAGGCCATTAATCTGCTTTTACTGGCTGAGCACCTTGCAAAATTTTCATTTTTTTTTCAAGCTCTGTTGTCGCTTTCCCTAAAACAGGTGTGGGTTAGTTACGTACCGACCGTTTACCGTAGGAGCGTTGCGGGAGGGAGCTGAAGGAGGGCAGCTTTAATTTCAGCCGTCTGAAGCCCCTTGGGTCGGGTCAGCTGCGTGAGGGAAACGGCGGTGGGGGCGCGGGTGGGAGCCGGCGCCGGCCCCGGGAGGAGGCGCTGCCCGGGGCTCGGCCCCCGGGAGCCACGGCGATGGCGGCCGGGCGGGAGCGGGCCGCCCGCCTGCTGCGGCGGCTGCAGCGGGCGGCGTGAGTGCGGGGGGGCCGCCGCGGCCGAGGGGAGCGGGGCGGAGCGGGGCCGCCGCGGCCGAGGGCAGCCACTGCGCCCACGCGTATTCCTCCGTCAGTGGGCCCCCCCTCCCCGCCGGCCTGCCGCTGCGCTGGGCCCCGGGGCCGGGCCGGGCCCGCTCGGCTGGCAGGCCTCTCTGGGTGGGGGGGGAGCACGGTACACTCGTAGGCAAGGACAGATTCGTTCTTCTGCTCTAGTTTTTCCTTTTAACAGTGCCTTTCTTAATTTTTTTTTTTTTTTTTTTTTTTTTTTTTTTTTTTGTCTAACCTTTTAACTAGATGTCGGTGCCCGAGCCATGGCCACACTTATTCCCAAGGTAAGACTTCATTTGCGCCTCCCGAATAATTCTGTAGGAGACCGTGGCCCTATAGAGCCACACGTATCGGTGCAACCCGGGCAGAGGGTGCTGGTAACAGGTAGGAATGAGATCAGTTTAAAGGATGAAGTAAGCAGTCTGTTATTTTGCAACTGTACAATGTCAGTGGTTATTGTTGGAGAGACTCACTGTTGCCGCGTAAGCCACAACTAATGCATCCTGTCCCTCCTTCCCCTTGCTGTCAGGCAAATTGATCAGAAATTTGCTGTGCCTGCTGCTACTGCTGTCATCACCTGAGACATCTCAGCTAAAGTTTTGAGAGGAAAAATATGCATCCGTTACATTGGAAAAGAAACGGGAAGCAATATGAATAAAAAAGGAGCTAGTCACAAAGATCTGCCTTGGCTTGGGGAATGTAATCTCCGTAGGCTTTTTTTATACAGTCAGTCCCAAGAAGGCAGCTCGCTTAGCCCAGGGTTTTGGGGTAAGAGCAGGTGAGCCACACCAAGTGACCAAGTTACCCTGGGAGGAATTTGTGTTTGCATTGACTGTAGGGAGTCTATGGGAATAACTATGTGTGCTGATCAGTCTCTAGATGTTCTTAGTCTTTTAATGCACCCCACGTGTTCAGTGTTGAATACTCTAAAGGTACCTAGAAGTTACAATAGATCCATTTTGTATAAAAATTTGTATTTTTGGCCATACTTTAAGTAATGTGTAGTTCTGAGTGGCCTGGTTTCATGTGCTCTACTTAAGACACTTTTAAAAGAATTACTATTACCATTTTACATACGGAGGAGCTAATCTATGTTCAGATACTTGTTTTGTCCAAGATGGTCATACAATAAGACGACAGTGCAGCTGAGAAATAGAATCTCATTCTTCTGCCTGTCTGCTTGATGAACTACTCGGTCAACTCAAACTAAGCCCTTGTTAAGTAGAAGTCTTAACTAAGAACCCTCTCTGTAAATTTCAGGCAGCAATTGAGTCTACAATGTAGCAAGATGGTATCAATTCAGTAAGTCTGTAAATTGTGGGCACTGATTTAACAGTGACTAGCAGAAAAAAATCGTTTGTTGTGTTTCCTGAACAGTGTTAGAGGAAATAATGCAGTTTTTGAACTCAGTAAAATTCTTCCTGAAAGTTAAGTTTGGCTCAATCATATAACAGCAGGGCACCTATTATACTAGCAGAAAGCAAGAGAGTAAATGGCTTAGACATGTTCTTAGCCTGTCAAATTAATGACCCAGAGTACAGCAGACAAACTCCAGGAGAGGTCAAACATGTACAGCCTGGCAAGAGATGGCAATGAAAGAGCTGATAGCAGCTGGCCTGGGCTTGAATAGAAAGTGCATAAAGGATTTTAATACATCTATCTGTTACTGTTGTGGGTCAGTGCTTCGGTACACCCCAGAGTGTCTGTAAGACTCATTATCATGGCTTCACTCATTGGATCTGAATCCAAATTGCATATTTTCAATTAATATGGCAGACAGAAGGCATGACTTCAGCAGGAAGAGCAGAATGCCTCATCTGATCTTTTCTTGGAGAAGAATGGATTGTTTCAGTTGATGCAGTTTGCTTCGCTTTGTGGCAAAATCAGGATATGCAAGAAATGGAGAGTTCTGTGGAAATTCATGCCAGAATGACATGGCGGAGAGAGGATGTGACTGAAATACTATCTTTATAAATATTTTCTACTAAAGAAAGCTGATAGTGACACACCAATTCTTATTAAACCTGTGTTTATTATTAGCAACGCATGCAGTTTCTTAATTTTCAAGCAAGCAATTCAGTTTCACCTACAAGTTCAGGACAAGGCAGTAGTAAAAAGAAGTGTAAACACCTGTCAGTATTACATGTACAAAAGATGTCCTCTAGCTGGGTGCATATGGCCAAAGTCTCATGGATTTGTTTTAAAAGTTGTTCTGAAAGTTATCGTGTAGCCCCAACATGTTTCTGACACCTCTCAACTTGGATGTAGCAGCCTGTATGCTCTGCAGATACCGGGTTCTACATAGTTATTATGTACTGTTCTGGTCTTTGCAGGCTGCAAACAAATTCTCATGCAGACTTCCTGCTAACTTACTCAGTTTTTATAGGAAGGATTTCATTCTTGGAAGGGAGGAAAAAACACCCTTGCTTTACTGAATTGTATGAATCAAATTAAGTAATTGGATCATTTAATCTCTCAAACAACAAGGGATGAAATGGGTAACTGTTAGCCAGACAGGCCAAGATGACCCGGGCAAATGTATTAGTGATTTTGAAAAGCAAAGGAATCTGTCAACTTTAGTATTGAGATACAGATTGAAGTCACGTTTTGTTCCCTAATTCTGCTGTTTCATTTCCATTCCAGTCCCTGAACAGCCTACCCTGGGAAATACAGACTATGCATTTGAGGTAGATTTAATAACAAAATATGTTTGATTTAAAAGTAGTATTTTGTATACTTCCAAATACGGCATTTAACAAATATTTACATTAATAAATATTTATATTTCACTTTGACTGCTTGGGACTAGATGTCATTTCTCCTGTTTTCCAGGAAAAAATATGTTCTTTTTTTGTTTGTTTGTTTGTTTTGGTTTTGTTTTGTTTTGTTTTTTTTGTAGATGGCCGTTTCAAACATCCGATATGGAGAAGGAGTTACTAAAGAGATTGGCATGGTAAGCGTCCATAGTGTAAGTCCATCACTGGTGAAATGTTATTTTCTAAAGAGCTGCTGGTGCTGTCAGTCCATTTTATAAGGGAAAACTTATGTATCTTTGAATCTCCACTGCTTTGTAGCATGTGTAGTCACATATACTGGTGTAAAAAGGTCAGAAAATATGTTGGGTAAAGAACAGAAGCATGGTATATCAGTGTTGTTGTGGTATATGTGAGTACATGAAATGCAACTCAGTGGATAATGAGATCATTGGTGATTTGCCAGGATTACACACCAATACTTTTCTCTGACAAGGAATTTAATTTAAAAAGTTTTGAATCCTGGTGACTCACAAGTATTTTTTCAAGATCATTTTCACCTCTTCCAGTGCTTATTAAAATGAATTGGAGACTTTCCATTAAGTTGGGTGGATATTCGTTCAGCTCTGAGTTTGCTCTGTGAATGTGTAGAATTTTTGTTTTGACAGTGTGAGGTGATTCACCTGAGTACATTGTTCCAGTTTCCCTTTATCATTGTTTTTTTTTCATTTATCTTTTTTCTCTCTCTTCTTGGCATTTATAGCATTAACAGTTCTCTTTTTTATTTGCAAATTTGTAAAGTAAATTAATAGTCAGATAGTAAATGAAATTAGACAGAACTTCTCTCTTTAAACAGCGTTAGGATTATTTAGAATTGCATGTTTTGTGTAGCTGTTGTGACAAGTAATTTAGCAAAGGTTAGGATGTAGTATTATTTTTCTTTTTTGCCACCTTACTTTGATTTTTTTCATCAATAAATTAATATTCAGAACTAGATTTTCAAGATTTTAATGCCATGCTTTGGTAGGCAGTTAGGGGAGACCTAACCTGTGGAAAAGCCTTTTTGTGTCACAGAAATTGTGTAGGAAAAAAATATTTTGAAAAGATATTTCACATTTTACTTCAGTCTTGGGCAGCTCCACATGGTTTTCACTTGCTTAGCTTCTTTATCATTAGTTTTCTTCTATCATAAGACTTCAGCTGTGTAAGTTTGGCAGCTTTATGCTGTTTTCTGCATCCTTTATATATGTGGTTAATCTCTTTAGTGGATACTGTTTCAAAAATTTTACAATAACCAAATATTTTTAGGTTGGCTGTTTTATTATTATTATTAAATGGTTCCATTGATTTAGATAAGTATTTAAATGTGTATGATTTTATACCAGTTGTTTGGGTTTTAATGTCATTGTTATTATAGGACCTGCAGAATCTTGGTGCCAGAAGAGTTTGCTTGATGACAGATAAAAACCTCTCCCAACTCCCTCCTGTAAATGCAGTATTGAATTCCTTGGCAAAATATGGTATAAACTTTCAGATGTATGATAACGTCCGGGTAGAGCCAACAGACCACAGGTACTACTTCTGACATTGCACTTCTCAAAGTAGCGCCTAGGCTTTTACAGCATGCCATACGGCTGTTTGAACAGCTCCTTGTGACCTGTATGCTGGTTCTAATAGCTAGTTTCTCTATGTGCTGTTTTTCTCCTGACTGACCGGAAAGCTCTTCTTGTTTTCCCAGTTTCCTAGATGCCATTAAGTTTGCTAAAAAGGGAGAGTTTGACGCCTATGTTGCTGTTGGAGGTGGGTCTGTAATAGACACCTGTAAAGCTGCCAACCTGTACGCATCCAGCCCTACGTCAGATTTCTTGGATTATGTCAATGCTCCTATTGGGAAAGGGAAGCCTGTCACCGTGCCCCTCAAGCCACTTATTGCAGGTAAATCAGGAAGGGGTGGGTGGAGAGTGAGGCTGTGGGAAGGCGAGTCATTCTACACTCTGTATGATACTTCTACTGAAGTCAGTTTGACTGTTTCAGCTTCCCTTGGGCTTACTTCTCGTCTAGTTGTATACAGCAGCAATTTTGCTATTTACTTTGGTGGAAGTAAAATTACAGGTTTTGTCATTAGTTTGTCTTGTTTAGCTGAGTTTGATTCCTTTTCCTGAGAAAATAGATCAAAGTAACAGTTTCTCTTTGACCTGTTGGCTTCAGATCAGGGACGCCTCTGAGATTTCCTGGGTTCTGTATTTCTGGTGGTGTTACTATATTGATTTTATTTATTTATTTTGCAATATTATGTATTACTTATTATTTGTTGTTATCTCCATTCTTCCTTTTAAGTTCCTACAACAGCTGGAACTGGAAGTGAAACCACTGGTGTTGCCATTTTTGACTTCAAAGAACTAAAAGTAAAAACCGGTGAGGTGGTGGGTTTTTCTTTCATCTCCTATTCAAGACAATTGCTTTTCCAATGTCTTCATTATTTTCCTGCCTTGAACAAAAGGGATACTCCACGTAATTTCAGGTGTCATTTTGTTCGATTCAACTGCCACAGGCAAATTTGAAGACCTTAAAGTTTTCCTCCTTGAATTAAATTTATTGCATATTAACATAGTGAAATACCTATGTAAGACAGTGGATTATAGTTTGAAGACAAAACAGGAAACTAAAATCTTTCAAGTCCTTAAATGGCAGAAAATGTTAATTGCAAAGGAAATTTCTACTTATATTCGGGGTCAACCAACTGTTCCTTATTTCCTCTGTAATTTTTTTTTCTGCTTTTAAGACTTCTGTTTCTTTGTTGTGTAATTGCAACCAAATGTTCCTTTTCCTGACTTTTGAAACCTCAGGCCTGAGATGCTGTGCAAGTGAGGGGCACTGTCTTCCTTTGGCCCTTTCATCCCTGGCAAATGAAGATTAAGGCTAAAATGTCATCTTAAGATTCATAACTGGTTTTGAGGGTTTACTTCTAAATGTGTGGATTTTATATGCCACACAGTCTACAGTACTTGGGACCCAAATGGGTGTGCCAAGGACTTCTGAACACAGCTCAATTTTCTAGTCTATATGTAGTCAGTCAGTCTGTTTGTGTCTGTCTGTCTGTGTCTTTTTCTCTCAAAGCTACATATGTGCCCCCTTGACCAAAATATGAAGGCCTGGCTATTACAGATGCCGAAGACAACAATTAGCAATAGCAACTGATTATAGACACAAACCAGTTTTGCCTTCTGATTGTTCACAGAAGATACAAATCTAAGAATACTATTGCAGATGCCATTCAGCACAGATGTTTTGAAAGTATAGGCTGCTTAGGGAAGGTTACAAATGGAGAGAGAACATTGTCTGATATAATTAATTTCAGGCAAAAATCTCAAATAATATAACTCTTACAGGGAATTCATCATCAGTAAGACTTATATTTGTAGATACTTCTTACTCTCCCTTCTTTCTGCTTTTATCTTCATAGTTTCAAATCATTCCACTTCATTATTTTTACATTTTGAACATTAAACTTGCCTTGTCCTATTTTTGTTGCAAAAAATCTTTAACTCATTTACCTGACATATATTGCAGGTATTGCTTCAAGAGCCATTAAGCCAACATTAGGCATCATTGATCCTTTACACACGCTGTCTATGCCTGAACGAATAGTAGCCAACAGTGGCTTTGATGTGCTTTGGTGAGTCTTCTGTGTAGGCTGATGAATTTATCACAATTTTGTATTTTTACTATGATGATTGTAGAAAAAATATATTTTAGGAGCAGAAAAGGATGATCTTTTTTTTCTCTCTTTCCTGTTCTTCATAAGGTGGTCTCCATTATACTTTCTTCTTAATTTAACTACCTCCGTCAGAATATATGGAAACAAATTACTCATTTGCAGAAATTTTAATGTTTTTGCAGTGCACTGGAAAAGCCATTTGTTTCTAGGGTGGTTGTTGTCAGGGAAGAGAGTCCAGGTGTTCCTTTTTAAGAGATGATTAGTCACAGTTGCAACAGCATTTATCATGTCTCACAGGCATGGCAGGGAATAGAGAACAAGGATTTTCTAATAAAAAGCTGGGATGTGTCAACAAAAATTGGTGAAGGCTTGTGGACGCTGGCAGGTCTTAGTCCAGTTATGACCATCTTCAGAACCTCTCTCATAATGTGCTTTTCAGTTGGCACAAAATTTTCTTCATCTTAAACCTACAGCCTTTAACTTTTACAGCACAAAATGCTTGGAAGTTTCTGTTCAGAGGGCCAGAGCTTACTTTGACTGGGTGCTGTGTGTATTAACATAGTAGATGTATAATGAAACTGTGTGATCTCTCAAGCTTGGTGAAATATCCTGAACTACAATGTCTGTAATGGAATTAAGGCATTTGTTCATAAATGAAAATGGTTTGTCTGTAATTTTATACATCTAAATGTAACAATGTAGGCAGCACTCCTTTTTTATGTGGTCAGATTCACGAGTATTTGGGGATGGGACTGTTGGCAGTTCCACTTAGCTTAAGGAATTCCAGCCAGTAAGTCAGCTTCGTGGGGGGCCCAACTTAAATGCCTCTATGCAAACGCACGTAGCATGGGGAATAAACAAGAGGAGCTGGAGAAGCGCGCACGTCTGCAGGGCTTCAATCTTACTGGCATCACGGAGACGTCGTGGGATGGCTCTTATGGCTGGAGTGTTGGAATGGAAGGATGCAGGCTCTTTAGGAAGGACAGGCAGGGCAGACAAGGAGGGGCTGTTGCCCTCTATGTCAGTGACCAGCTGGAGTGCCTGGAGCTCTGCCTGGGGATGGATGAGGAGCCAAGCTCTACGGGTCAGGATTAAAGGGAGGGCAGGGACAGGAGACATTATAGTGGGAGTGTGCTACAGGCCACGTGAACAGGAAGACCAAGTGGATGAGGCCCTCTGTAGACAGATAGGAGCAGACTCATATTCACAAGCCCTGGTCCTCATGGGAGACTTCAACCATGAGGACCATTATCTGTTGGAGAGACAACACAGCAGGGTGTAAGTAATCCAAGAGGTTCCTGGGATGCATTGATGATAACTTCCTTCTCCAAGTGATAGAGGAGCCACTGAGGAGAGATGCTGTGCTGGACCTTGTTCTCACCAACAGGGAGAGGCTGGTGGGGAGTGTGAAGCTCAAGGGCAGCAGTGGCTGCACTGATCATGAAATGGTGGACTTCAAGATCCTTAAGGCAGTGAGGAGGGCGTGCAGCAGGCTCACTGTCCTGGCCTTCAGGAGAGTAGACTTAGGCCTCTTTAAGGATCTGATTGGCAGAGTACCACAGGATAAAGCCCTGGAGGGAAGAGGGGCTCTGTTGGAGAGAGTCCAGAGGAGGGCAACAATGATGATCAGAGGGCTGGAGCCACCTCCCTCTTGAGGACAGTCTGAGAGTTGGGGTTGTACAGCCTGGAGAAAAGAAAACTCTGGGAAGACCTTGTAGTAGCCTTCCAGGACTTAAAGGGGTCTTACAGGAAAGATGTGGAGGGATTCTTTATCAGGGAATGTAGTGATAGGACAAGGGGTAATGGTTTTAAACTAAAAGAGGGTAGAGTTAGATTGGATGTAAGACATACTTTAATGTGAGGGTGGTGAGACACTGGCCCAGGGTGCCCAGAGCAGCTGTGGCTGCCCCCTCCCTGGAAGGGTTCAAGGCCAGGCTGGACAGGGCTTTGAGCAACCTGGTCTAGTGGAAGGTGTCCCTGCCCATGGCAGGGGGGTTGGAAATAGATGGTCTTTAAGGTTCCTTCCAACCCAAACCATTCTATGATAAATAACATACTCCTAATCTTTTAAAGGTCAATACTTCTAAAAGAAAGGTAGCTTACAGTGTTTCCAGTGCTAAAGCCTCTTAGGGTTTCCTGACCTACAGAAAGGAAATGCACTCGCTGCAGGTGTACAGAGCTCTTCAGTGAAGAGCATTACAGACCAAGATGCGAGTTCATCCAACCTAACTTTAAGTATGGTGTGAGCTGATAGATTTTGACTGTTTGGATTGCCTTCTCTGTGTTTACTGGAAAGTGCTGTGGAGGTGCCTGCCCAGTGCTCTCCTAATTGTCTGTGAGGTTGTATTTCTATTTTTGGCAACTGTTAAAAACCCAGAAGTAAATAAGTAGAACTACCCAGAAGTAAATAAGAAGAACTTGCATTCAAAGCACAGCAGGGCAGTAAAATGGAGCTCTCCCACTTAAATAATTTGTGTTTTAATCTTTCTTTTAGCCATGCTCTAGAATCGTACACTGCTCTTCCTTACAACATGCGAAGTCCCTGCCCTTCAAATCCAATCAACCGACCAGCTTACCAAGGTAGCAACCCCATCAGTGATGTCTGGGCTCTTCATGCTCTGCGCATTGTGGCTAAATATTTGAAAAGGTAATATATTTAACAGCTACCTCCCTTGCAGTATGCTCAGTCTTCACTGCCCAAAAAGGGATGCTTAGAAGAACTTACATTTTAGGCTAAAATAAGGCAAACTACTGCATTAAACCTTAATTTTCTACCCTGGATTTTTCTTAAATCAGTAAGTTTTTCAAATAAGATTGGAAGTAAAATTAGGGTTACTAGGATGTCTTGAGGAGGTAGCTTTTTAATGTGTCTGTCAATCTAAAAGTCCTCAGTTAAAGTATTTCAAGCTGCTCAGTTAATATGGGAGCAGCATTCATGTATTTTTTCAACCCTCTTTCTGTGACAGTATAAGGTGAATACGTAACAAACTAAATGAAATACTGGTGTAATTTCTGTGACCTTCAGTGTAAATTAATTTACTTATACATCCATCAAGAAAGGTAACCACATGCACTTATGAATGTGCAAAATTATACATTTGCTGAAATGTAGTTCATACTTAAATTTAGATTAAGTTTTGACTTAACTGTGAGTTCATTTGAACCCTAGCAATAAAGTTTTAGCCTGTATGTAGCTTTTGTATACCATGTGCCCTCCTATTAAAGATCAATATGGGATCTTTTGTAGAAGACTTTTTACAGTACCTAGCTAGTCAAAGTAGTTGTATATTGTTCCTGTGGGATCTGTTTGTTAGACTTTTTCTCCATGTTGTCAAACTGCACAAGCAGTCTGATGCATAGGAAGGCAAGGAACCCTGTCCTCTTCCCGTGCAGATGGTGGGCTCCAGACCACCACCTACTGAGATGGTGAGAAAGCTGGAGTCATCTTGGATCTGTACATAGGATAGCCAAAGCTCCTAATCAGAACTGTTTAAGCTGCCACTGAAGTGAATATGGCTAAATTCACTCTGTTTACCCAGTTTTTGGGAAAGTGAAGGGAAACTTGCCCATCACTGGAGCGGTTTGATCTACTTATGATTCAGAAGCAGGATTGTTCTCTGACTGAACTGTGACTTTGTCCTATTTCCAGCATTTTAACTTGGCTTATCTTAGAGGTTTTTGTATAGCTGTCTGTAAGGAAGCCCTCTCCCTTCTCCATCCTAAATTACCAATCTGTTTGTGAATTCACTGGTACCGTTGTCTCCATGGTGCACAGAGCCATCAGAAACCCTGAAGACCGTGAAGCAAGAGCCAGCATGCACCTAGCAAGTGCTTTTGCTGGTATTGGCTTTGGCAATGCTGGTGTTCATCTCTGGTGAGTACATAAAAATGTTAACCCCATCCAAGGTCAGCTTCTAGGTAGTGTTTGTTTCAGATTGTCAAAGACACTGCTGCCTTTGTTGTTGAAGACATTGTAGCCTGGTCTGTGATGCAGGGGGAGCTGTGTGTTGTGAGAAGTTGGTGGGCTCTTGGCATTTATGTGTATAAGGATTGTGTATTCTGGCTTGTGATACTCAAATCCAGTCATGCAAAAATTAAAAAACATGGCCTTCTTTACCTTCCTTGACAGTAAAAAAACATGGTTAGGGAAAAAAAAAAAAAAAGACAAAAACCCAAAAAACAACAGTGACATTTAAAATGTTGGATTTCATGACAGCAGTTGAGCAGTGAGACAGCAATGAGGTAATCTTGTGCCATTCCTCAACTGATGCAATTGTCTGTAAGTTTGTCTGTGGGGTAGGCATTCAGCAAGCTGAAATAAGCTGTAATTCATTGTGCAAGGCAATGTAGTTTCATATGGATGAAAATCTCAGAGAAGCAAAGCCTAGACCTGAAATGTGTGGAAATTATTAGCTGTCATTCTCTTCAGAGACCTTTCTTCCATTCCTTTTTCTTAAGTAAATTCATTCTTCAATTCTACTTTAATGCTTATTTTTTTCTCAGGCAGTGTGATCAGGTAGGGATGCAGGTTATGCTACTTTTAGCATACCTGTATTACTTTAGTAACTGATCATCTTTCAGTCCAGTCAGTGGAGTAATACAACTTCACACTTGCGAAGTAAGGAGGTACTGGTTTTCACAGCTAGGTCCCCAAGGTGAGAGAGGTCTGTACCTAATTTCCATACCATATCTGTACCTAAATACCTTTTGAGTATCTGTACCTAAGAGACTTGCATACAGAAGACTGACCGCACAAGGGACTGAACACAAATTTTCCAAATACCAGGAGAGCTGCCCTAACCACTTTCTCTCTACTCTCTGTTCCAGCCATGGAATGTCTTACCCTATTTCTGGTTTGGTGAAAACTTATAAACCAAAGGATTATAATGTGGATCACTCTTTAGTGGTAAAACTTGGTTTATCTTTGTTTTCATATTACACATTTCAATTCTCTGTTATCTCACATTAATGAGCATTAAAGCACATCAAAGTTGAAAGTACATGTACTGTTGATGTGAATTTTTTTTTTTTATTATTTTTTTTTCCCCACCAGCCACATGGCCTTTCTGTGGTGCTGACATCCCCAGCAGTGTTTGCATTCACGGCACAGATTCGTCCTGAGCGGCACTTGGAAGCTGCAGAGATACTAGGTAGGAATCTCTGTGGATACAACTTACTCATACAAATGGAATTCTTTCCAAAATGTCTTTTGGGGAAGGAAAAAAAAAAAAAAGATGCATGCAAGCAGTTGTAGTTGGTTGTTGCAGGGGTTTTAAGTTTAAAAAACAAGATCCTGGAGTCTGAGTTACACATAATGCAAACTGGGTAGAATAATGCTAAATTTTTATATTGGATGATGTAGTTAGAGAAGCAAGCAGGAGAAATCTGCTTCTTGGCTAGAAAACTGGACAGCTGATCTGTTACAGATTAGGAGAGAGTAGCTGTAATTGGCATCTCTCTTGGTGCTTTATGGAGAGTAGTTACTTTAGATACCATGAAACAAGTACTCAGCTGCATCTGTTAGCTAAAAGAAAGCATTTTGCCTAACAGATTCCTTGCTGTGGCAATGAATTAGGAGAGGCTGATGTTCTGAATCACACCTGCTCTTTTTTGGTGACACACAACTATGGGTTTCTGGTTTTCTAATGTATGCCTAAGCTTGTTTGTAGATGTTGGAATTTCTCAGTGGCTGATGTCAAGGGAAAGCATGGAGTAGCTATTCTGAGGACACATCTGTGATGGCTGAGAAGTGGGGTGGTGAACAAAGTGGCCTTTTCTGCTTCTTTGCAGAATAAAAGTAAATGCTGACAGCTCATTTAAATGTTACCTTTCCATACAGTGCTTTGTCATCTGTGCAACCCATCACCAGAAGGTGTCCTCGACTCTCTGTTGTAGCTAAACTGCTCTTACTACCCATGCTCACTAATGAGCAATCACAGTCACATGTGCAGCAGTGTTGAGAGCAGAGAGAGAAAGTGGTTAGGGCAACTCTCCTGGTATTTGGAAAATTTGTGTTCAGTCCTTGTATGGTCAGCCTTCTGCATGCAAGTCACAGCAATCCAGTTGTGTGTATGACTTCCTTTTATAAGTAATCTGAAAGCAGTGTGGATTTCAAGAAAGAGTGGGACTTTCATACAGACAATTAAAACATCACAGTATTTTAAAGAGGATATAAAACAACATGGCCAGAAAAACTACATTGGGGGGAAATTCCATTTATTTTATAAATGCTGGCTATGAGGTTGTTCAGCCTTTCAGTGAAGTATGAAGTCCTGCTTATGGTCAAAACCAGAACACAAACCTAGTTGGAATCATATACTAAGCTACAAAATGGCTGTGCTCCTACAGCAATAACACACAACTCAAAGTAGACTAAGAAAATGTTTCTGGATAATTGACCAGAGAATTTGAACTCTGGCTCCTTATTTTTAAAACAAGTGATTGAAAAGCAGTTCCTTCAGGTTTTGTGGTGTGAACTGCTGCCATAAATTCTGTCTCTAAAAGCTCTGTTAACTTTCTCAATAGAAATTTAAACTAGGTTATTGTTTACCTTGCTGTAAAGGAACTCTGCTGAAAACATGTCACGTGGAATTGAATTTATTACTTCCCACTTGGGGTGTTCACTTCTGATTCCAGTCCAGAGTCCAACTGACTACAGTAGCTGATTCAAATCTGTCATGTTTCCAAATGCAGTGACTATGAAGGTATTTCATGACATGAAGCAGATTACTAAATAGTTGTGTTGTGTGTATGTACAGCTGTGAATTTGGGTACATCCAGAAAAAGCTTAATACCTCCCTGGGTGGATTCTTAAACAGTTGAAATAGGTGTGCGTGTGGCCAGAAATTTTCTAAGTGCAGTCAAAGACTGATGTATCCTTTAGGTTGAGCAAAAAGAAAGTTCTAGAACTGTAGCAATATTTTTAAACTGCCCTTCATATTTACTGTCCTTTTTTTCCCCTCCTCCCTTTCACTTTACAATCTGAAAGTACTGGATTTATGTCTTAGTTAATTCTCTACAGCAAAACCCAGGACACTCAGGACACAAAACTCAGACTGCATGGCATAATCCCAATACATAAGGCTTTGTACAAGACTCTCTCATACCTTACTTACCAATTTCTCACAAACATTATCTACTGCAGTAGTGCCAGCCTTATTACCTGAGCTCCTCAAGTGAGCTGCTTGGTCTCCTGTTTACTTAACCCCCTTTGAATGTTACACTGTACTGCATAAGGATCACAGAAAATATTTTTCCTGTAGCTATGTTGTGCTCTTACTCATCTCTCAGTATGGCACTGGGACCTAACATAGTTCTGGTATAACATCATTGAGGTTACACTGAGAACAAATTTAGCTCAGCTTACTTTGAAAAGAAATCATACGGAGGAACCTGTGTCTTCTACCTGGACGTGTTTTTATTTTTACTTTTAAATAAGTCCTGAACATTCATTCATTGAAGAAGGGGAGGCAAGCTGTTCTGTAAGAAATACTGGTAATCTTTCACTTTTATACCGATGCTTTCATTACTGTTCAGTAGATGTTTCAAAGATACCAGTTCCTTCTCTTCAGTTCTACGTTATCCTACGCAAGTCAGCACATATTCAAATATCATTAAGTTTAGGATTTACTTAACCCCCTGAACACTGCCCTGCCATCTCCTTTCTCAGCCTGCATGCCCTAGTCCTCTCTTTGAATGTGTAATTGAACAGAATAGTCAGTGGTTTCCATGTCCTCTAGATGTCAGCAAACTCAAGGCCTTAAAATAAAGTTAGCGTTTGGCACACTGTCCATAAAAATAAATACCATTGACGTTCATGAGTTAGCATCTTTCCTCCCAGCAGTTAGTCAGACTCAAAAGTGCTTTTCCCTGTAAGCACAGAGGGAGAGGAAGTTAACCTCACGCGGCAGTTAGTCTTTCTGGCAGCAGTTACCTGCTTCTCCTGATCTTGTTTTATTTCACCTTTTCAAAACTATTCCAACTGTAAAATGAAGACTGATTCCTCTTTTTACTTCGTCTTGCTTTTAGGGCAGTGACTGTTATGTATGGATATGTATTCATCTGATATTATGATTAAATTAAGTCCAGAACAGGCTTCCTCCGCGCTCTCCACCCTACAGTCAAGGCATTATGTCTTATTTTAGGAGCTGACATCCGCACTGCCAGAATCAAAGATGCGGGGTTTATTTTGGCAGACACACTGCGGAAATTCCTATTTGATCTGAATGTTGATGATGGCTTAGCTGCAATTGGTTATTCTAAAGCAGACATCCCTGCATTAGTCAAAGGCACTCTGCCTCAGGTAAGACAGAAAGCAAAACAGTTTTTCATGTCAAATAAAATAGAACAGATTTTTGAAAAAACAGAAGTGTTTCTTTTCAAGCAAATGTTATTTCTAGTTCTACATGAAAACAATTGAAATGGAGAAAATTATGGATAGTCAACTCTATTTTGCTTCTCTGCACTTTTTAGCTGTATCTTTTCAGTGAGATGGAATGCGTGCTACAATCTGTTCTTCTCATGGGTTCAGAAAGAATGGCTTGGTGTTTGTTTTGTTTTGGGGTTTTTCTAATTAAACATCACATTTTTAAAAAAGAGGATTTTTTTCATAGACCTTTGATCTTTGTAGGTGATACTGCATTTTCATAACTATCTCTGTTAGTATGCAGGATGACTCATAAAGCCTTAATACCAAGTGCTCTCTGGTAAAAATGATCAAGCTCACTTTGCATTAAACTTTTCCATATTGAGAAGTTGCACTTTTCTTCCCAGATGGCTTTTTTGTTCCATTGACCCCCATCAGAATTTGAAATAAGGTCCCCTGGGATGATACAGATTAAACTTGTAATACCCTTTATTGTTTCAGTGCTCACAAAGACACTGCAAAAACCAACGTACCACTCCAAAAGCAAAATCCAGTGTCTTCCTTGTAAAAAGACAGTTTGATTCATATGCTGTGGGCTGTTCTGTCTACTTAGGATTTATTTCCACCAAGTAGCAGGGGAAATAAACACCATGGACAAAATGAAAATTTTGTAGGCTGAAAGGTTATTTGCTTTTTACAGCAGTACCTTGTACCATGTCTAGTTCTTCTCATTCATAAATCTCAGAACAACTTATAACAGAGGGTAAATATTAATATTTCTATTTTATACCTGAGAAAATGATGCAAGGTTGCGACTATTTAGGATCACACACAACAGAGGAGTGGCAAAGCCAGGAAGAAAACTAATGTATCTGAGTACTCATCAAATAGGTTAGGCATGTAAATTGTCGTGGGGCGTTTTGGAGATTTGTTTTGAGAAATATGTTCCTTTAAAAGAATTGAGTTTGGGTCATCACAAGCACAGCATCTCACTGAAGGCATGTTTTGTATAGCTGGGGGAAGGGGAAGGTTCTTCACCAAAAGATGTTGGAGGGATTTTTTGTTTGTTTGTTAGCTTAGCTCAAATTGACTTTTAATTCATTTACTGTCATCTCACAGCATTGATGATTAATTGTACTGTGTAAAATGAGATGACCTAATAGTTTCTCAGACCTCATTTTTGTATGTGAGATGCAACGTGATGAAAACGTATTGGTGTTCCTTAATAGTTCATTATTACCCACAGAGGTAGTCCATACAGTTTAATCTTTGATATATTTTTTTCTTTTCAACTTGCAGTAGGTTTTCTTTGGAATACAGCACTGACCTGTTCACTTCTGCAAGGCAGGCAGTGTGGTGCAGTAGTGATAGCACCAATAAGTGTGTGGGGTGTATTCCACACCCTGAGGTGCAGGCTGCAGGAAAACAAAACTAATCTAACTGCCAGGATTTGGGGTGGGAACTCAGCTGGGACAAACATTTACGCTTGAAGTTAAAACAGAATTTTATTTTCCTTCCCAAATGAGTCTATTGAGATTGATCCTATTTGCAGACAGCAGTGAATCTTGCAAAGAAGCTGCTGTCCTGAGGTCTAAGGTAGCTGGCCCTGTGATGGTGTTTGAGGGGAGATGGGGAGGACTGAAAGGAAGAGCTGGCAGAAGGGGTGTTCTCTAGTCCACCCACCCCCTGCAGACATCCCAGGGGCAGCTGCAGCGGGGCTGAACCACTGATGAGCCCGGAGCTGCTAATTTTTGGCACTAGACCAAAATGCACTGAATCAGACTGAGGGAATTGGGGCCTTGCTGTCTGGGCACCAGCAAATATCAGCAGGCTTGTGCAGAGGGAGTTCTGGTGCCTCTGTGTCGAGGCATTACAGGAGGAGCATCCCTTGCAGCCTTCTAATATAGCTGGGAAATGCTACAGTCTGTCAGAGTGATTGTGGCCTCTCACCCTGAGTGACTTGACAGATAGCTCCGTCCATCTCCGTGCACAAGGCTGCAAAACTGTAATTTTGCCCAGAGCGTCCTCATAGAAGCCTGATGAATTTTCTGAGTACTGGAGCACTGAGTTGTTACATTTTTCATATTGTGAGTCTGAAAGAAACAACATACTTCTGCCCTACTGCTGTTTGAATTTTCCATTTGGTTTCAAAACAGCATAGAAGAATCTGAGCCTTTTCTTTGGCTGGATCTGTGCACATAGCAGCGCTGGTCAGGGATGGGGAAAGATTTGATTGCTATTGGTGCACCAGCAAAGCTTCTCGTGTAGGTAAAGTTATGCACACAAAGCTGCACTTTTCCGACTCATCACCAGCCACACTAACGATGCTGATCGTGATGATGAGCTGTGAATATCTCCCAGCTGACTTCCTCACCATGCTGGGCCAATATTTCACATGTTAAGTTGTGTGGCCTCTCTGGCTGTGTAACCACATCCAGCCTGTCCACAAATTGCAGCCCCGCGGGTTGAGAGGGAAGCGGAGCGGCTGTGGCTTTGGGAGGGTGTCAGAGCTGAGCCTCCCCAGGGCAGGGGGCTGGGGGAGCCCCTTCCCCAACACCCTACGGGGTGCGTGAGGCAAGGCCCCCCTAGCATCCACTGTCTCACATGTGAAAAAGGGGAGGGGGAAGTCTAGAGGTTTTACTGGGACAGCCTGTTCCTTGAGGCAGATGTTGAAACAGATTGTAGCAGCAGCAGCTCAATATTGCCAACATACACTGCATTCCTCTAAAGGTAATGTGTTCCTCGTGTAGGCCTGGCCTCTGTCTTTGCAGATGTTTGTAACTCTCCCCAGTCTTTCAATAAATGTTAAAATCGTTGATTGTTGAAAGCATAAAAGTACTAATCATAACCAGTATGAGTACATTAATGTTAGGCCCTTTCAGCTGAGTGTTTCTACAGTAACCAAATAGCTACACTAATACAGCTCCTCATCCTCAGTAGCCTGGGGCTTTTCTGCATTGCCATCCCTGCCTTTGTGGTTATTTTGTCAAGCAGAGCAGTGAAGCAGATACCTGAGTTTCATTTCAGTCAGTGGTACTTCAGCACCCAAAAGTTCTGTTGAATCACCATCCAAATGAAGACCAACCACAGCTATTCCGTATTCTGATTCCAAGGCATCGGGCTATTTATTAAGCAGTTTCACTACATTCCCTTGCTGTGCATCCCTTTTTGGAGTATGAGTTGAAAGCACTGTGTACTTTCCCCATCTACAGCCATTCCTGGGCTTTGAAAAGTGTTGTATTTTGAGAATCTTGGTCCCTAAAAATTGAGCTCCTAGTTGCAGTACTGGCAAATTAATTTTAAAATGGACTGTATTCCCAAGATAATATTCTCTAGCATACTGACATCTGTTGGCTGACAAGTGTTTGAAGTACTTGACTTTGCAACTGAACTGCATTCTAATCTTGCTTCTGTGTATTTAATTATAGGCAATTTTAACTAATATATTCTTGAAAGTACTGTACAGTTGATGATGCTTCAACCTTAATTACTTGATTACTTACTTGCAAAACCTTATTACTCTCTGTGAAGGACATTAGTACAAAGGGACATAGTTCAGCTACTGTTTGATTAATTTTATTGGCAACCTTCTGTAATCCAGTTTTTCTTTAATCTTGCAGGAGAGAGTGACTAAACTATCGCCACGTCCCCAGACAGAAGAAGACTTATCTGCCCTCTTTGAGGCTTCCATGAAACTTTATTAGCTTAAACATTTTGTTCTGAAAAGTGTGCTCTGTTCTAACACAAAGGTAATTTCTTATAGATATGGGGTTGAATTTGTTTAGAGAATGGAAGAACTTGGGTTCCTTTGACTTCTGTTCCATTGTACACTGCCAAAAGGTCAAGTAATTCATCTTTAACTAAATAGTGCTTTGAAGTGAAGGCTTGACTGTGGGTTTTTTTTTCTTGCTTAGTAGTCAGTAGTATTAAGTTGCATAAAAGTTGGAGCAGATTTCTCACTTTACTGAATACCTTCTTGCACTTTAGATGTGGTCAAAGGTGGAAAAAATGTTTTAAGGAATATTCCAAACCATTTTGCAAATTATGGTTTTTATTTAAATTGTCTGTGATTTTGTTTTTAAAAGTCGTGCTGTTTAAGAAATAATTGAGGTAATTTTTAAATAGGAAAGATGAGTTGCCCCCCAGAAAATGTCAGCTTACTGTATTCTGTTTCACTTTATCATCTTTTTACCATCTGGCTTTGCTAAGAAGGCTATTGAACTCGGGTACTTTTTTGTTGTTTGGTTAAGGAAAAACCTACACACTTCATACATGTTTGGAAAAGGCTTCCTGAAAGTTTGCTTTGGGTTAAAATTCTGACATGTGTTGTCAGATATTTTTCTTTCCTTTTAAGATCTATATGAAGCATTCATAGGAGGAGCAACACCAGAGTTAAAGCACAGTGACACAGTCAACAGGAACCACATAACAGCAAGACATCATTCATCATGGTCATTTTGTCTCTCTGGAGGCAACAGCTCCCTTTTCCTGCTGCATTCTGTGGAAAGAAGCTCTCAGCTGTATCTTGCTTCTCTGTGAAGCAGATGCTTCTGCTGAGCTCCTGCAGGTGCTGTCACTCGGAGTGCAGCCACCAGCTTAAGGAAGTGGCAGTGTGCTGTGGTTCAATATTAAAAAGTGGTGGTGTAGCATAGGCTGCACAGGGCCCCACTGGGAGCACTGGTTAAATGTGGGAATGAGTGTGCATGTTCAGAGCAGTTAACCAGCTGGTTGACTGTCAACTGAGAAAGGGAAGTGGGAAAGGGAGAAGTGAAACTAAAATTTTAATACTATTTTTCTTTTTTTTTTCTTTTTTTTTTTTTAAAGTGCACATGGTTGTGTGTACAGTTTGTTTAAATCAGATTCTGCTTCATGTTGGACCCTTTCCGCATCTGATTCATGCAGCTACCACAGCACAAGGCAAATGTGAGAACCACCCCATAACCACTGGTGTGCTTATTTCTTTCTGCTAGGGAGGGAGCACTTCTTAGTCACCCTGCTCACGTAGAAGGCTCTATGCTTACACCTTTGCATTCTTGTGTTTGTCTGATAAAGCTAGTGCTGTCCTAGAGTCTGAGGATAGATGCGCACCGGATATTGACATTGGATCTGGTTTAATGCTATTAAAATAGGTGAATGGATACTGGTTGAAGACTGGAGATTTTGCTTTTAGCCACAGAACAGGTTTAGTGGCCACATGGAGTGCACTGCCAGTATGTCTCACATTCTGCTGGGGGACACGTTTGAGTTCCATGTCCTTCTGAATCTTGTCTTCTGCTGAAAGTGCCCACAAGAACCTGTGTCACGAAGGCTGATGTAATAGCAAGGGTCAAGGGATTCACTTTATTGTATTGTGCAGAGCTGCCACGTTTGAAAAAACCCTTTTTGTCAAACCTTTTTGTATATGATCTTTTGACCTGTTTCAACTTTCTACTCCTGTCTTTTTTCAGGCTGTGGTAGCAGGACAGAGTCCTGAAGAGAGAATTTTTTTTTTCCAGGAGCCTAATTCATGGCAGCCACACTGTGTTTGGGGAGAATATACTTTCTGGGGAAGTGAACAGCATGTGAACAGATGATACTGAAATACAAATAATATTGTACTTGCTATAAACACAAGCTTGTTTGAAAGTGTTTGAGAGCAGTGTTTAACTCTGTCATATTAACTTCAGTTCTGTAAAGTAACTATGAATGAAAACCATTCAGAGAAAGTAGGCTTTCACTAGCTTCACCAGACCATGATGATTCCTCCTGCAAAGTCGTTTTCCTGGTGAGCTTGGCACTGTGCAGACAAAACCATTGTATCGTGTGTGACAACTGAGAGCAATGGTAGAGGCATTCCAGAAATAAAAGCATCCAAACTGCTGCACAATACTTCTGTGAACATTTAAGACAATTTCCACACATGTCACTCTGCATAATCAGTACATAGTTATAAGTATTACTACATATTTAATGGCAACACTATCAATCCTTGTATGTCGTACTTGTTAGCAGTAGGGCTTGACTGAGTCCCTCCTCTTCCTTGTGGAGTCACAGACCTACTTTCCGCCTTAAACAGCTGTAACTATATAAAAGGATTTGTCAGTCTTTATATAAAAAGAAGAAAAAATGCCCAGTTTTTCTAGACTGTGCTTTTTGAACAGGTTTTAAGTAAGCATAAATGGCATTATTCAGTCACGACAGAAGAATGGTTTGAAGAGGTTTTAGGGACTCCTACTAGAGTAAGAGTTACCACGTTCGTGATTCTTGATGTGGATGCTGACCTGCTACTTCCCTCCCCTAGTCCTGTATTCTCTGAGTTCTGCACAGGCAAAGACAAACCGAACCCTGGCCCATCTGGTTACTCACTCAGTCCAGCTACAGTGATAAGATTAGCTCTGGGGAGCAAGTATGAACAAGTGCACATGTAGTAGCTGGTGAAAATAGTTTACCAGCAGGTATAGTTTTACCAGGAGTACAAAATGGAGAGCCTACTCCCCTCACCAAGTAGTGGGAGCTCACAGGGTTGCTGCTTGGCATCAATAGAAACAAGGGCAGTTGGTACAAGTTTGTCTGGCCCCTCTTTTCCCTTGCCTCTTCCCATTCCCATGCTGATTTTTCTAGAAGTTAAAGCAAAAAGAGAATGAAGTGAAAAATACGTAACCAACATGCCTAAATCTGCAAAAACTCTCACTGACATCCTATATGAATAAACTTGGACGAAACCACAGGTTAGGTTAGTGTGTATGCTCATTCCTTGTTGCACCGTCTTCACTTTAAGGCAATGTGCTAAGGCTGTCATCTTCTGTCTTGTGGTTGGCTTTCCATCCCCTTGAGACCTGAAACGTGGATGAGAAAGAGTGATGGTCAAGGGTCACAGCCAAGCTATGTCTAGGCACTTTCCATAACCCCCAAGTGAATCTCCTTCAGCATCGCGGTGCGCCGGGGCATGTGCAGCGTGCTGAGAGTTCAACAGCTCCAGCCTAAGAAATCGTCACTGCATTAAGTGTCTGCGCAGAAGGGGCAAGGGCAGCCTGAGGTGATGCAGGAGGACGCCGAAAGGTATGGTCTCCATTTTCCCCCGAGACCATCCCTGTGTGCTTCCTAAACAAAAATGAACTTTATTTAAATTCGAACACCTGCTAGTGAATACAGAAAGTGAGGTGACTGTTTTTCTGCTATCTCCAGAGCTGTAGCTCACCCAGCAGTACACAGACTGCTCGTCTGCCGCAGTGTCAGCCTTGGGCAGTGAGAAGAGGGTCTTCCACGCCTACCCACCCCTGCTAATCCTGCCTCAAAACCTGGTTCCATTTTTGACCCATCACCAGGCCACCTGCAGAAGAAGAGGTTCCTCTTTGAGCAACGGTGTGGCGGGACTGTCAGTGACTGAATTTGCAGGTCTCAGCTCTTTGCATATGTGCTTTTTTCTACAGGCAGTTACCTTTGTTCTTACCTGCAATGTATACATGAAAAATCATGCGGGCTCTGTTTGTTACAAAATGTTTAGTGCGTATTTTTCGTGTGTAGTTGTCCACAAGAATAAGCAGAAGCTTCTACTGTTGCTCTGAATTTTTCAGAGAAACCGAGACAAAAAAAAACCAAACCAAAACAACAACCAAAAAAACCAACGGGCTATCATTAGGAAGACTACAGTTTCCCTAGATGCAACATTTCTGAATGCAGTTTTATATTTTGCTAGTTCTAGGCTCCCATTAAATAACCCACTAAAATGCCATTCATTTTCTTTTTTTCCACATTGTACTGAAGCAGCTGCCCCAAGTGAGTCGGTAGAAAATGTTGTACAGCCAAATAATAAGAGGAAGAACCATTTGATACCGTGCAATGGAATGTTAATCAGGGTCTTACGTTAACTACTTTACTGGTTATAGGAGAGGGGGTGATAAAAGTACTTTCAGTCTTTGGTTTCTTTTGAAAAATTACATGTACTTGGTTTTCAGAGAACTCCAACAAATGGCAGCAGATATTTTCTTTATTTCTCTGAACAAGGGAATTAAGGGGGGGAAAAGCTAAGTGAAAGCAGAGGAAATGTGACGTGTATCCTTTGAAGAGCCGTGTTCATTCACGTCCCAGTGTAGAGCCACAGAGCTTGGTTCTGCAGCCATGTACACTGGCAGCACGTACGCCACCAACGCTGACTGAGAGGCAACAGAATGATGGCTGTATACCCACACAGAGCTGCCGTTAAATGTTTAATTTCATCTAATACTACCGTATCATGAAATATAGATATCATAGCACAAACTGGTTTATTGATGTGGAGCTTTTCCTCTGTGTTCCCTGACTTGCTGTGACTTTGACCTACTTCAACAATGCACTTGTGCTTTTCTGTGGGTACACTGTTTGGGTGTGTTTGACCATACAGCCTTAAATTAGCAACTTGACATTGAAATGCTGATTTACACCTGCAGTCAAATGGATAACACATGCTAAAGACTGATTGTCAGCAGCTCCAATACGTTATCGCTTCATTCTGTGGCATTGTCGCTTGCCTTTATGGGATTTAAGGACACCATTGTGTGGCATTGTTGGTATGGCTATGGACACAGCTGTGGGGGGCTGACACTGTGTGTGGACTTTGTCATCTATCTAAAAGCTGACACCACTTTCAAAAATCTCAGTGAAAGTTTGGATGTTTAAGTGTTGCTGTATATTTTAAGACAGCATTGGAAATAAAGAAGCTTTTTTGTGGGTGTAAAGAACAGTTAACATTGAATAACTTGCTCTTCTGACCTTTTCACCTTAAGGAAGATTAATGGTCATTTAGATCAGAACTTCCCCCCCAATCAGGGGTCTGAATGCTTCAGGGATTCAGATGGACAAAGAAAGTCATTTCGCCTCTAGGTCACCAGCACAGACCTATGGTGTCTCTTTAGTGACCATTAGATGATTGCTTATTAGTTTATGTGCAGGAGTTGGTGGTCATAATCCATTTTCCAATGGACAGGTCCCTGCCTCGGGAGAGCTGTCACTATGTGCTTAGCTGAGCAGCGAGAAAAGGGAATTAACATGAACAGAACCTGAATTGTGTTTGCCTTGCACTACTAAAACCTCAGAGCCTCTGTAATGCTTGTTTCAGTGGATCAGTCCTTTGCCAGCATCGTCTTTCCAAGCCAGGAAGGGTTGAAGCTATGTCAGTGCTACGCCGTGAGCGGTGGCACCTCAGTGTTCGCCCCGGAGGGCTGCAGCCTCTGATCCCACTTCTGGAGCACGCAGGTCCCGTTCAGACACACTCGCAGTGGGACGACTTGCATTCCTGGCAGTTGGGACATCCTGGAATAGCACGTCCCACAGCCTCCGTGGAGCCATCTCCCAAGCTTAGCTCCTGGTGTGGTCAAGCTGATGTACTTCATACCGACTGTATTTGTGTCTTATATGGAAGTCCTAAAATTTGGACTACTCAGCTGGTAAAACTGAGCACAAGGCTGGGAGGTAGATTTTGGCAGTAAAATAACCGTTTGTGACTTCTCATGTCAGAAATGATACCATCACCAACTGTAAGGCGCAATTCAGGGACCTGCACAGCAGAGCTGAGCTAAAAACACCGACCCGCAGAACAAAGGCAGCACAGGGTCGGCCGGTGGGTGCTAAAGGTCCGAGCACGCCCTTCACTGGAGACATCTGCATGTGCATAGCAAACAGGGCAACGGTGGAAAAAATGGATGTGTGTGCAGAGATATTCATACAGTTGCTTACAGCTGAGATGTTGAGCCTGAATATATAGCGTGGTTACGTGCTAGAGAGTATAAAAAGGTGAAGAGCTGGGACCTAGGAGTCTACCTCTTTTTGGCTGACCAAGTTGAGAGGATATAGGAACGTCAGACTTCAGGGGAACATCTAAGATGAGAATATGCATTATACAAAACATTGTAAAAACCCGAAGGATGTAGAATCTAAAACTATGTCGTTATTAAAGAGAATGTGCCATGTCTATTGGAAAGTCCCCAAAAGCTCTTTACTGTTCTCTTTTGGTTTTCTCTCTCCCAGGCTGCCGTGGTTTCAACCCGGCTGGCAGCCGAGCACCATGCAGCCGCTCGCTCACCGCCCCCCACCCCCCTGGGGGACAGAGTTGGAGGGGTAAGGAGACTCATAGCTTGAGATAAAAAGCAATTTAATAATTGAAATAAAATAAAATTAAAACAATAATGATAATAGTAATAATAGAAAATACAGACGAGTAACACACAATGCGATTGCTCACCACCTGCTGACCGATGCCCAGCCCGTTCCCAACTTGGGATCCCAGAGAAGAGAGAATCCTGAAATCACCATCCCAAAAATTCGAGTGGAGCTTCCCAATCAACCTTTATCTATATACTGAGCATGATGTTAGATCCTGTGGAATATTCCATTGGACAATTTGGGTCCGTTGCTTTGGCTGTGCTCCCCCACCCACCCAGCTTCTTGTGTACCTGCACATCAACAGGACATGAGGAGTTGAAAAGTCCTTGATTTCTGAGCAACAACTAAAAACATCAGTGTATTATCAGCATTCTTCTCATATCAAATCCCATACTGAATCCAAAACACAGCACTATTCTAGCTACTAAGAAGGAAGGAGAAAAAAAAATAACAAACAGCTAACTCTATCCCAGCCAAAACCAGGACATAGGCTTACTTCTGCGCAGTACTTTTGTTGTAGTGGACAGAGCAACTGAACAGATCACAACGAGAACTGAATTAATAAAGGTAAATGTTTAAGTGTAAAGGCTAACAGGACAAAGAAGGACAAGTAAAGATCATCAATTCTGCGAAAATCAAAGACCTCAGAGGCTGTGTGACTTGAAAAGGACTGACCTCTGTAGCTTATGAGCTTGAAAATCCTCTCCTATGTATTTGCAGTATTAATTCCTCTTGTTATCTGAGGTGATCTACTTTAATCAGATTCCTGCAGACAAGTCAGGTACTTACAGCAGCAGATCTTTGACACCCCTGCTGGCAGCATCAGCAGAGAAGCCTAAGACCAAACCAGCAGGAGACAAGATATCTCATTTCATCTCTTCAAACCCCTTTTTAGGGTAATTGGCATCAGAGTCCCCCAGTTTTCCCTTACAGGCTCACAGCCATGTGGTGTATGGCCATTTAACATACTTGTTGCGCAGAAGCTACCTCAAAAGTCTCATATTTCCACGACTCAGCAATTTCGTACCAGTGCTCCCACTCTGTTCTAAAGCTTCCTCCGTCGTGGTGCCAGCTCCTGTGCTGTATTACCACTTCACACAGGCACCACAACTTAAAGCTGCCTTTAGCGCAGCTTCTCCTACTTGCTATTTTCTAAGTTTCTAGCACTGGGGCCTCCGAGTGCCGATAATGATGGTCATTGTTTTAAATTTAACCTCATTTTCACACAGAACTTGAGCTGGAGGTGGCAATGCCATCTGATACCCTCCCAAGACCTTTATCCCGCGGAGCACGTGTGTTGCACACAGCAAAAGGAGCTTGATGGCTGCGTGAGGACGCACTAGGGACAAGTAAGGTGGCAGTTCAGGTTGCCTCATTCTTTAGACTTAACCATAGGAGAAGTCCTAAGCAGTTTGTGCCTGGTTACCCAAGCAGTGGATTTTCCTCCATATGACATGACACATAGTATGCCATTGCAGCAAGAGGGCTGCCACTGCACAAATCCAGGAACCACAGGGCAAGCTTTAATTAATGTGCTTGTTTGTCCAAAAATGGTTATGTTCATATCAGGAGCCAACAGTCAAAATAAGATGTTTCAAATGAAAAAAATGGGAATTAAAAAGCCCCGTACAAAAATTACTATGCTTTATCAGGGGAGTAAAGACCTCACTGATCAATTAGATTGAAAAAACAGTAAATCAAAACCAAATGCAATTAAAGTTCGTCATCTTAACAAGAGATTGTTGTCACAGCCCGGTTTGGACGTATTGCTCTTTGGTTGACATTTTTAATGCTCTCTGTGGATTACCAGTACATGACCAGTGTATGAAAGCTTGCTAAGCCTCCACGTGCTCAGCCTGGCCCTAGCTCTAATGCTGGCTTCGTGCAATCCCTGCTGCTGGCACAAGCTCTGCGGGACTTGGACCTCGCACTGCTGGGCATTGTGTTTCTCACTAATCATTGATTGTATGGACTTACTCGAGCGTGTTTTACAAGCTTAGGGCAAATCTGTGAATGTCCAATTATCTATATGTAACTTTTTTAAGAGGAGCCAACCAGGCTTGGTTTTGTTTTTTTCTCAGGATCCTGCAGTATCTTCTGTAACTAGTGGGGGGATGCTTTCAGCCTGGCTTCCAGGTCTGGCTTGTATTTCCTTTCCTGATTAGCAGAGAAGTCTGTGCACTAGCCCTTTCAAACTGCACAACTCTTGCATCCCTCTCTCCTGGTCCCCTGTAGTGAATTTAAAGTTCATAATGTTTTTTTAAATGTTTCACTCTTATTCCCACTTGGGTAAAATCTGTTACAGCAGCTTCCAGCCAGATGCAAATTAGAATGTTACTTTTGAAAATTCTTCACTTATTCACAGACCTTTCAACCGTGCAGTGCTACTTTAATTTTGAACTGGTTTTGCAGACTGCTATGAGTATGAGGTGAAGTTGTTGATAGCATATCTGTCTTTCTCTTCCTTTCACTTAGAGAAAAATAACAGATGATGTGTGAGAAGCTCACTTTATATTTTGCTTTTTTTGTTGGTTTTCCTTTTCAATTGCAAATGCAATTCTGTGGCCCTAAAATGAAACAAAGTCATTTTCCTTCCACAAAAATGCAGCTTGTATTGCATCACACACAAGTGTAACTGTCTGCAGCATGCATGTGCAGTTTTACTCCATCTTTTATTTTTAAGTGGTTAACCGTGCATACCTCTGGTTCACCATCCTATTCCAAAAATACCCGGGGTTATCATATTGCCAAGCTAATGGTAAGAAATGGGCTCAAGTGGCTCAGCATGGATTAGATTCACCTCTTACGCAAGAGGGTACAAGACCCAGGGAGAAGTCAGAGACCTGCCCCGGGAAGAGCTCTGTCCTCTGCGGGCTGGGGAATGCCCTCGCAATCCCTTGCATATGAGGAGAGTACCAGGATGCTTCCCACCAACTTCACTGGAAGAATGCTGCACTGGAAAGGCATTGATTTGTTCACAAAGGCCAGGATAAATAAGGTCTAGAGGTTTCTCATACCTATCTTAAAACACTCAACATTTTAATTACATTTTTTGTAACCAGATTTTTTTTTTTTTTTTTTTTTTTAATTTGATTCCTTTTAAGCTTACTAGCTCTGTCATACTTGGTAAACAGGACAAGAATCTGCACTTATTTCTTCCAAATGTGTCTGAACAGATCCAGCCCATGGGAAAAGCACCCTTGCCACCTCCCCTCTCAGAGGGACATTTTGCCAGTTCATGTGATTTTCTGCCATGTTGACAAGGTTTGCTGAGCCTTCTGCTGTTTTCACCAGTTGTTTTCCCCTCAGCTTTAGCATACGTCTCTTTCCTTTCTCCACTTTTCCCTTCTTTCTGCCCACATTCCCAAAAATCACATACCTCCCCTGTCCCAGACCTGCAGATCAGGTTAGATGGATGTTTTGTCAGACACCATATGTCTGTTCTTGTGTCCTGAGTTGTTCTCCTCCTCCTCCTCAGTTGTCCTCACTCACCTTTGGTCGCCAAGTTCTTGCATCAGCAAATATTTTGATCCTTTACTGACAACACTGAGAGTTCAGATATTTGGCAAACAGCTATATCACAGCCCACAGTGGAGAATTTGGATTCCACCTGTTGTCTTGGGACTCTTCAGTCAAAAATATACCCCGGTGCCATAAATTTTCTGGGTCTTCTCATGACTGCAGTGGCACCATGTGAATTAAATTGACAGCTTACTAATTGTGTTTAGCAGTGACGAAAAATCTGAGCCTAATTTTTACACTTTTTATGTAATTTGCGGGAGAAAAAATGATTCATAGAATCAATGACTGTTTAGTGTCCTGCTCCCACCACAAACTGGACTCTTGCTAGGTCAGTAGGGAGCTGGAGGGAGATATTTCATGTGAAATCATCTGATGTGGCTCTGCAAGCAGTTCCTAGGTTGGACATTGTGGAGAGTATCTTCCTCAAGTCTGAAATTGCTGCCTGCTGTTCTTCAGCCGGTTGCATGCAGTTGAGCTTTGTAGTACACTTCCTTGGTAGGTGTTATCACACCTTTTTTGTAGCTAGATAAACCAAGACATTTGTCCCAAATAACTCACAGACAGCTAGAAAAAAAAAAAAAGTAGCCCAATATGTGCAGTCCTTCTCTTGAAGCCACATTAAGATTTCCTGCAAAACCCTGGGCATTCATAGTGCTTGACTACCTGTAAGGTCTGGGCAGAATGAAGCAGCAAATTCCCTTTCACGAACAGGGTAAAATTCATTCCCAGATGAGACATACTATACTGGCCCTCCTGAGCCCTATTTTTCTGTTGGGAAGGGATGTGAGAGCCTTTTGTCAGCACTCTGCACAGTGACTCATCCCCAGAGCATCATGTCCCTTGTAAAGGTTGGTGTTCAAAGCCTACCTGCTCAAAGCCTAACCTGTAACACAGCGAATGCCAACTGGTAACCAGCTCTTGAGTCTCACTGCATTTTCCACATCCCCCCCACTCCTCAACATAATGAAACAACAAATATTTGTTCTAATGTTAAACCTCAGCTATGATTTTAAAATATCTTTAGGTCATACCTATAATTAGGAAAACAATGACTCACGTCCAAAAGTGCCTCTTCTCAGAGGACTCTGAATACCCAAAGGTGAAATAAAGGGTGGGTTAGATGGTTAGATTTGTTATAGCTTTTTTTTTTTTTTTTGGTTAACTATTCAGTGTTGCTCTTCATTATTTTTTTTTTTTTAATCCTTTTGAAAGCTTTAAAGCCTCCCTGCATAACCGCCTCTGCTCCATTCACTGCTGAATGGACGGTGCGCTGATCTTTTTCTCGGTGGGTAATGGATTTGGTTTGATTGCTTGACACAGGAACAATAGGGGGATAAACAATTGCATTTGCACTCGTGCAGCTCCCCATCTGTTGAGTGTGTGCGCCTTCAGAGGGAGCCGGGCAGGGACAGATGAACACGCCAGCTGAGCCTGATGTTAATGACATCAGTCATACAAGCAGAACATGTGGCGCAATAAATCAAAAACTAATTGAACTTTTGCTTGATTATATTGCCGTCCCACCGCCCGTTTCAAACACGGAGCAGTTTCCTGGGACAATGCCCCCAGCCCCGCAATGGCTTTGCTGCCCCTGGACAGCAGGAGGATGCCCTGGGAGGTGACAAGTGCTAGCAGCTTCTCCTCACTCGCTTCTTTCTTGAAACAGTGACACCTTCCTCTCAGCCAAAATGCTTCCAGGCTTGGGATGCTTATTTGACCAATAATTATCATTTCAAAGAAGAAACATTACATGAATATGACAGTGACAAGCCCATGTTTGCTGGCATTTTCCCTCTGGGACTGTTGGTGGCAGACGTCTATAGGAGAAGGCAGCGCTAGTTTTTGTGGTAATTACACACACGTGCTAGCAATGAAGGCAATTCATTAGGCTGATATAATTTAATATCATTATTCACACTTGAAGGTGTTTGTGCTACATCAGTTGCTGGAGCCTGCAAGCCAAAATTTTCAAGCTTAGGTGTCCATGGCAGCAGTAAGTCACCAGAAGTTGAGGGGGCTGATTTTCATAGATGGGGAAAGCAACAATTTCTGGTGGGAGCATTAAGGAATGAAAAGCTTTGGCAAGAAGACCCTTTATTGAAGTGAATAAATACAGAATTAGGCCCCAGAATCATTAAGTCATATAGGAACCCATCTATGACTGAGCCACCTGCCATCCCCCTGGAGTGCAACCACTGATGTGTAGGGGACATACAGACCTACATATGTCTGCCTGACGTGCCCTTCTTTAGTCACCTGCATTTGAAATTTCACACTGAAGTGCCCAGGACTCAGGTACTAGTTTATGAACTTATAAAGCACAAAACACTTTTCTTAATACGCCTAAAATCAGCTCCTCAGTATATGGGAGGAGAAAATTTTTATGATAAATGTGTTAAAGTACACAAAGTATTAACCCAACTTATTTCAAAAATCCTTCCAGTACTTCTGTAAATATTTATTAGCCTAAATATTTGCTGCACAGAACAGACTCTAATTATTAGCCATTTATTGCAGAGGATTCTCCAAACTGGTAAAAGGAGACGTAAAATAAAGTGCTCCTATCTGAGCAGAGGCTTAAGTAACAGCTAAATTAAATCTTTGCATTAATAGTATTCATAGAAAGGCAGATGGGAGCAGAAAATGTTGCAATAGAGAATATGGAATGAGATGAGATCACAGCATCAGTCTGTCCTTTGTAGATCTGGACAATGATCACAGAGCCAGATTGGATTAGTGAAACCTATTTACCAGAAGTTCAGAGCGGTTGCATGAAGCTGAAAGGCAGTCAGGAGGGAGAGGGGGAAAATGCACCAGATTTACAGCTGCAGTGACGAAAATTTAGAAGTTTTCACCACTGTGATTTCATCCAAATGTGAGTACATCAAAACTGTAACAGCCGCTGCGGTGTTGTCTTGTAGCTGGATGGGGTGTTTAGCATCAGGGGAATCTCTGAAGTGAGCAGCTCAACTGTTCTGCCGCGCCGGGCTCCGCTTCCAGCCCGGCGCTCGCTGCCTGTTTCTGGAGCTAATCCGTGCAGGTGCTTCAACACTGTGGCTGCGTAAAACCTCCGCGCTGGCGAAAACTGGGAGATCTGGAATCGGTGTTGATATACCTATGAGGTAATTGCTAAAGTGACAGCTTGCAACTGTGTGGGTATTCTGTGTAACAGAAAAGAAAATGAAGTTCTGCAAGCAGTTAGCAGCTCACAGGAACCGGGTGGACTGTGTGAATGTTGAGTTTAAGTCTGCTGGCTCAGTAAGTGGAACATTTCCAAAGCCATGCCCTGGAAATGAATGCATGATTAACATTAATTGCTTGTAATGAAGAGTAAGAACCGGACAAAGCCCAGTCTGCATTTGATTGAACAAATTAGTTTAAACTCAATGGCTGCATATTTCAGCAACAAGAAAGCAGGTAAAAGCAGGGAAAACAAATTGTGGGGCCAGATCAGATCTTTACTTTAAGCTGCAAGCATGAGCTCTCAGCTGCTGAATTTCAGAAAATAAGTGGAAAGGACAAAGTGAACTGTCACTGTAATCGGTTTTGTTGCCCGAAAGCTAGGCTGTACGTACAAACAGCGTCTTGCAGGCAAATCCAGAAACATCATCTGCAAGGATTCATTCTTTCCCTTCCTGCTCCCACTCCCTGCAGAAAATCGTGTTTGCAGGGAGAAGCCCTGCAGCCCCACTGTTTGCACTGCTGCCATTGTATTCCTGCGCAAGTGGGTCACTTCTGGCTACCTCCGTGATTCACTCTCCTTTCAATGGCTATTCAAGTAATTGCATGTTTGCTGGTGCTGTGACTTCCCTTTCATGCCTTGCCTTTCTTCAGCCTCTGTAAGCCATTTGCCACTCGCTCTGGCAGACGACAGGCAGTGAGTTGGACTGTGGCTCATACGTACTCTGAAAATATGCAAATTTATTACCGTTAGGCAGATTTACGTGTTGTTCCTTGTGCACCAGCCTGGGCACCAATAGCAGCACAACAGTACTTGTTTCTGACAGAAATCTATATAAACTGCTCCTCACACTGTCCAGTAAAGTACATAAAATACCAGCGAGACAAGAAGATAATTCCTCGCATCACTAAACTTTTCTGCACTTGTGTGTGTTGCTTGTGAGCAATTAGTTTAGTCTTCACACGATGAAATTCCAGAATTAAGGGTGATTGCAGCAGCTTCGAAACCAAGTTAGGGCGTATACCTAGGGAAAAAAAACACCTTCACTATGTTTGTCTGGTTTTCATCCCACACTCACCATGGTTTAAATTATAAAACGTGTCCTGCAGGAGAAAGCAGTAGGGCTCCCTAAGGATATCATGCCATGAAAACCAGACTGTAATCGAACTGACAGCTTAGCACACTCTCAAGCTCTCCACAGGCGGATAACTTGTGATGAGTTCAGTGTGGAAGTCGCCTGCCCTGCAGCGGGTCGCTGGCAGGAACCCTGGACAAGACTGGTCTGTCCCGCTCCACCATGGGCAGAGCACAGGCCAAAACTTTATTTCAATCCAGTGGGGTCCTAACGCTCAGCACTGATATCCCCACTGGGGTACCGAGGGATGGCTTTTAGACAAACACAAGCCGTCTAGGAAGAGTGACTTTGGTCCTGCTGCCTGCTCTGCTTGTCCCGGAGCCCTGGAAAGCCCAGTCACTTGTTATTCCTGCCATCGGAGGAGAGGAGTTTGGCTGCAGTAACGAGCAGCTTTGGATGACCTCCGGCTGCTTCCACAGCATCAAAAATTTTTGCAAACATTAATTCGTAGCAGCGATAAGCACTGCAACTCCTGGAGTTGAATGCATGCCAAAAATGTAAAGGAAAGCTCACCTGGAGAGTAAGAGTCACCCGTCATCCCATAACAAACCTTCCTGGCTCTTCAAAGCCTTTGATTATACATGAGCCTGAATAGGAAACCCCCATTCACGTGCCCTGCCCTTAGGGTCAGACTTTAGAATTGGAGTTAATTCTCCGAATTTGGCAGGGTTTTGCAGACCTGTTTCTTTCCCTGACTGCTAAATCCTATAACTCCTGTAGCCTGAACACAGGGGAGGGTAATAATTTTAAAGAGCAAAGGGTAAGATGTGATGAGAGGGAGAGCTGGGAGTATCACAGAGTCCTTCAGGCCAGTTTCAAGTCAAACTGAAACAAGTGTTTAAACAATCTCTACTTTGTCCAAAAAAACCCTCACCCAAAACCAGTTGCTTCAGTCCAGTCAAAAGCTTGGTTTATGGTCCCGGCATCCTGTGGGTCTAGTGGCTACTGATTCTGGTTTGCCTATGATTTTGGTGTCTTCATGAGTCTAAGAAAAAAAAAAAAATTGAGAAACAGACTTTAAGCAAAATGCCCTAAGTTAAAGAACCAAATGGGTCATTTTGAGGATTGAAAAGTCTTTAGTGCAAATGTTGTGCTCTGGACACCATGCAGTAAAAGTGAAATGACATCATGAAAGGGTTTGAGCTTACTGAAAAAGTCCCTATCTAGATAAAATGATAGGCCTCTCCAAAGTTAATGTATACACTAGTCACGTTTGAAGGTGACTGCATGGAAAGAGAAGCTCAGTTCCTTCTGAAACACTGGGAGGTGGGAGGCCAGATCAAAACTCAGGAAGGAGAAGGACAGTTCCTCCTGGAAGCCTATGGGAGATGTGTAGAAACTTGGGGACAGCTGTTGCTCTGTGCCCACGGATGTCTGTATTGTACAGATAGACCATGGTCCCTGAGATGACATTGAAAACTACTTTCTTTTAGGATGTTTTAGCTGGAATCCTCCTTAAACCCTTTCATCTTCCCTCGCCCTGCCCCGGGCCCCCAATGTACCCTCACAGAGGACTTTTAGAGGCATGTGTAACCTCATCTTGTTCACCTCCGCTGCACCCTGACTGTGTTTCTGTTCTTTTTGCAGCATGTAGTCCTCCTGCCCGAAGACAAGCCAAAAATACGCAGCACATCCTAACAAAGAGTGTAAGAAAAATCTCCCTTCTTCTCCCTCCTTTTTTTTTTTTTTTTTTTTTTTTTTTTTAAATTCTAGTTGGCTACACTTATCCTTAAAAATGCCAGGGATAAATGGGAAGCAGATCTTTCAGGGCAAAGAAGTGCATCAGCATCTGATGCAGTGAGTGGGGCAGAAAACAGGAAGGGGAGTTTCTATAAAGCTACAGTTTATTTACAGAGGCACTTCAAAACTTCAAAAAACACAGTCTTGATGTGCAGAGACAGTCAAAATGAACATAGCATCTTATCAATATAGGTCATCTGATGGAATCACAGACTTATTTCTTATCCATAAAGCCTTGATAGTGCCAGAAGGAGAGGCAGGAGTGAAAAGCAAACAAATGATATCAACACATATATGCAGTAGTCAAGGAGCCAGAATCCCATTCCCCAGGGAATCTGGGAGAAAAACATCAAGCAATGGACTGTAACCTTGAGTGAAAAAGATGGCTCTGAGAGAGCCACACAGGAATGCTTGTCCCTAGATCCCAGGGGGGGTTGCCTGTCCTCAACTCACCCCCAGTGCCCCGGCACAGAGGGCAAGCTGGAGTTTTACCCACTTCCTGCAGGTAAGGTACCCCCCCACATTCAAATAACAGCATTTTTCATGCTCTGAGAAAACGTTTTCCAAGTTTGGACATTTTGACATATGGGTGTGAGGTTCCTTGTCTTCAGAGCCAGTTTTCCCTCCTTAAATCCACTTGGCCCATTCACAGCCCCTTCCACGATCCTCTTATCGCAGTTCTGACTGGCAGGAATGACGGCCTCTTTCTCTTGTGCAAATCAAAGTACTTTTTACAAGCTCCAAGACTCTTCTGCCAAAGCACTTCTTCTCACTATAGACCTCTCTTTTCTCTAGCACTTTGTTGAAATATTTTACTCCATGGCCTTTCCTTTTTCCATGCCCCATCCCACTTCCCAGCCCCATCCTCATTTGTAAATAGCCTCCTCTTCAGGAATAATCCTATTCCTGATTCCCTGATCTCTCCACAGCACCATAGGCACCACCCTGCTTACCACACTTACCTGTGCACTGGAAGAAAAACTCACCATATTCACTCCTATCCCCTCTCTTAGTTATTAAAGCAGATCAAAGGATCCCAATACTTCACAGGATGCCTGTAGTGGTCCCTAGATGCCTGTCGTGTTTGGGTAGAAATTATATATGTGTTTATTTTCTCAATATGTGAAAATCTTATTTTTGTCCCGTAACCGAGGCTGAATTTTCAAAATGACTCTTCATTCCAAGTGATGATGAGAATCAGAGTTCTGAAGTGTTACTCAAAATAAGCCATTTTGATATACCCCTTTTTTATTTGTTATGCCTTTGGTATATCTTGTTTTCCATGTAATATAAACGTAGCATAAAAGCCCAGACCAAAAGTGAACTGTTCTGACTTCATAAAACAGAATGCACAGATAATTTCTCCATTTTTTTGACAAAATAGATACTTTTCCAACCAATTCTAACCAGAATTTTCTCATAAAACTATTCAGCTGGAAAATTTTCAGCTAGCTTTCATTGAAATCTAGGGCAACTGCATGTCTGCTATCATGTTCTGAATCTCGGCAGATAGATAGTTGTTGTTTCTGCTAAATGGGAGCCTCTAATATTTAATTTGGATTGGATTAGCTGCTGTAGCAACACTATACTCATAAGGCTCTAAGAAATAAGATAAGAAAGTCCCTGGTTTGTTGCTGTATTTTTAGAAGATTTTTGTTTTCCTTTGGGGCTTTCCTGACCCCAATTAAAGATGTCCTTTGATTGGCCCTTAGCCATGATGCAGGCAGCATCATATTAGCAGTGGGAGCACCGAGCCTGAGGAATGGTCTGCAGCTCTAGCTAAGAAAACAAGCAAGGCTCCCAAACCAAAGCAGCTGGCACAGTCAACTCTTAGACTTCTGCATTCCCCTTCTTCAGTATGATGCAGCTGCTTACAGCTCACGCTCAAGCATTCAAATAAATTGCATATACTGGAATATATGTGTGAGGAAGTTGTGATTGCCAATTTCTAGACCCACAGAAAAGTAGCAAAATGATTATTTATTTTTCACTTTTACCTCTGCACCTGCAGCCAGTGCTGTAGAAATGCCTCAGCTAACATGAAATCTTCTGCTCTGGTGATTTCAGTGGATGCACAACTTTAATCCTCAGTAAGGGCAAAAATAGCAAGCAACGTGGACATCTGCCAGACTTTTTTTTTTTTTCAGCAGAAATACTCAAGCAGTGTAGCATTAAGTGATTTAACATTCAGATGACTGACCTTGGGGGGTAACTTCCATCACATTCAAGAACCCATCCCAAATGCACGATCCTGACTGTGGAAGGGTGAGAGAAAAGGGGAAACACCTTCTTTTTTTTTAATTGATTGCTTCACAAATATGTTTATTTACAGTTCCTGTTGCCCTATTAAGATTAATTTACAGTGGTAGTATATCCTTCCCTTCTCTTCCCCTGCTCTTCTAGCCCCAAAATCCTTTGGGTAGAACTATCTGGACACCAGTACCTGGCTACTTTGCAGAAAAACGGCAAATCCCTCTGTGCATGCTAGTGCTGCCACATTAAAAATTAGATCAGCATTAGACCATCAAAAAGAGCTTAACTCTACAAATCCGTCATTTCCTCCACTAACAAGCACCTTGTTGTTCTGTCTCTAAGCTTCAAAGTTTTATCCAAAGCCAGATGTTTAATTGTCACTTCTAGTGGTTGGTTGTTGGTTTAGCAGTGGGATCTTGGGGTCCAGGAGCAGGGGTGGTGGAACAGCCTCTGTGCTGCTCTGCAGCCCTCCTGTGCCCTCTGCACCCCCCCACTTAGCACAGCTAATTCCAACTGCGGGTATGCCAGGCCTCAGTGCTCTCATGTGCACGGTAAAGCCCGCAGAAAAAGAGACTTTGCTGAGCTCTGAATTCAGAGTCACCATCCTGCAAACAGACTGAGCCAGTCAAGGGACTTACTTACAGGTTCTAAAAAGAGTAAGTTTTTAGAGAGCAGTTTACTAATTCTGCATAGTTTAGCTGACTCCGCCATTCAGAGAGATTTAAGTTTCCTGGTACGTCTAGAAAAGAAAAGTGACTTCCAGCTGATCCTTCTGCCTTACCCTGGGTACCCTAGAGAAATGTCAGCTCTGGTTTAGATCAAAACTGAGCTACAGCAGGTTTAGTTTCCTGACCTAGATAAGTCTTTACATATTACAGTAATGGGTGTGGTAGCTAAAGTCAGGGTAAAATCTTGAATTAATAGATAAGAAACTCCAAAATTGTACTACAGCTAAATGCTGGAAACAAATATGTTAACTGAAGATGTGCTATAGAGATTACACTGTTGTCTCCAGCTGTAACTGAAGATGGCTTTGCAACTTATTTATACAGATCCTTCTGCTTAAAGGGGTTTTGACATTACTGATATGACATGCAACAAGGAATCTTGAAAACACAGACAATGCATGTAAATAATTCCTGCTGTTAACAGAGTTAAAATTTGTGCTTCCTTTCCCCAAACTGTATTTCATCCTTTACAACACATAGGCAGATTGCTAAGCTTCAAGTCAGTGGTGATTTACATTGATCAAATAAGCCACTTTCAGGATTAGAGATGACTGCAGCCAGCATCCTACTTACCAAAAATGCTCCTTCCATGACTATACAAAAGAAGCGACCTCAGGTATCTCAGTAGCAGAGGGTTGCAGACATTTGCTGTCACACGCCAAAGAAGACTGAGTGCGACCAAGAGCACTGCACATCTTCCCAGAGCTGGCGGGAAAGGTGAGCTTTGTAGCGTTCCTCGAAAGCTGGAAGAGCTCGGTTCACACAAGGCAGACTCCAAGGGCTGTCATGACACAGCCTCATCGTATTCGTAACGAAGACTGGTGTCTCCACCGGCGTCACTGTGGTGGTGGGGGGTGACGCCTCTGGTAAGCAGCTTGCGAGGTTCGGGTGGTCAGGGCATGCGTGGACACCGGAGCCCGCAGCCTGCGAAGAGCCACTGCAGAGGGATGGGGATGTCCTGGAACTGGTCCAGGGGCAGCTGGGAGAGAGCCAACGCCAGCTGCTTAAGCAGCAACAGGAGGCCTCTCACCACCAGCATCACCCTCGTTTCTGAATTATCAGAGTGATGCCGAGGCTCGGCTCTGCCCGGCAGTGTCAGATTCGTGGTCAGTAGAGCTGGGCCCCAGCCACAGACTCCTTTGGCACATGCTTGTCTTCAAGGATGCCAGGAGTCCCTTTGACTTAACGCTGGGCACATCCTTAAGTAGCTCACGGATCAGGGACTGTGTTAGGCTGTGTGCCAAAAGCCACAGAACTAAGAGAAAACCCCTCTTAGGTTTCCTTTAGTCTTTGATTGCCTCACCAGCCCTTCCCAGCAATATTTTTGCTTGCTGTTGGCCCGTTTCTGCTCCTTGTCCTGCTGATCAGTAGGATGTAGGTCTTCTAGCCTTCTCCAGACTCCTGAGGGTACATGGATTCAAAAGAGTAAAAAGTGGTGTCAGGTTGGGGTTTTTCTTTTTTCCTGTTTTGGAAAACATTGGTTTGCATGTGTTTTTATAGCTGTGTAAAAATTTACGTACACAGAATATTGCAGATTAATGGCAAACTGAATTAAAACAAAGAAAATGGACAATTTTGCACAAGAGGACATGCTTGAATGCAGTCTTTTTTCTATCTTGTCTTGATCTTCGTTAGAAGGCAGAGCAACAGATGGAATTAAGCCTTTTTCTATGCCAATAGCGGACTGGTCAGTTGGTGGTCTCAGTCTTGAGACAAAAATAACTGTATTTATATATAAAACACACAAATGGCAGTCATCGGTAAAATGGAAGTAACTGCTTTTCTCCTGGTCTTCCAGAATATGATCAACATAAGTAAGTCTAATAAGAAGTAGTCTGAATAGTTGCCACGTGTCTTATTTCCTTGCTGGTTTGGACCTTCACTCTGTTTAACTGGTTCTCTGTATGACAGTAGCAAATCTTCAGGAAAGAGTGGGGAAAAGAAAAAAAAAAAAAAATAAAAAAAAACAACTTAGAACATCTTTCCCTGCTGTCAGGACCTTAATCTTCTTGAAAAAGTTGTTTCCAGACCATCCTTGATAACAGTCCTGATGGATCCACCAGCTTGGAGCCTATCCCTGTTTTTTTAAGCTCACATTAGCTCTGGCCTCCCCAGTTGCCTGTGGCAGCACAGTGAGTGCCATGGCTTAGTTGTGATCGATCTAAGAAAGAACTTTACCTTGTTCGTGCTTGTTTTCAGGGGCTCTGAGGTACAGGGGGTCTAATGTTCAAAGATGCAGCTCTCAGTGAGTTTTGTTTGAGCGAGCTAATGTTTGTGAAAATTAATCACTAGGAGCACAATTTTCAATGCACTGTATCCTCTGCAGTCGTTTACCATATATAAAATGTAAATAAGGCCAAAAGACAGGAGAGGCCACGAAGAAATAACATTTGTAATTCACAATGCAGAAGTTTAACTGGTTGCCCAGGATATGATGTGATAAGAAATTAAATTTGAGCTGTCTCAAAGGCATGTCCTATTTAGTAGGCCTTGAAAAGGACCATGCTTCAGTCTCCTGAGGAGAATACAGAAAGGTGCACCTAAGTAGCTGGGTCCCAGGGAGACCCCGCGTGATTTTCCCATACTTTTCTACACACGTGAAGGCAGGAGCCAAACAAAGCAAACCGCACAGCTCTCACAGCCCCCACCCAACAGAATCCCCTTTGGGTGACAGTAAAGCGGCGGGAAGAGCAAGCGCCGTGCTGCTCCCCCGTGACCCTGACAGACCGCCCAACCTCCGAGGCCGGGTGTAACAACGGGACAGTTTTGCCTCTTCCCCGTAGGTGGTAGCCCCATCCGACCGCCGTCCCCACGGGACAGAGAAGGTGCAGCCCCACGAGCGTGACCTCCTGCGGGCGCTGTGCAGGGAAGACGAGGCGCGGGGCTTGCGGAGCGGGCAGCGGGGACCCTGCCCCGCCAAGGGCACCGCTGCCCAGCACGGTAAGTCCGCAGGAGTGCTTTTATCCCTCTCTGGCTTCGGAACATTTCCAGATATTGCCGCCTTCCAGCTTGCAGCGAAGCAGGCGCTCTGTTATGTACCTGAAGGATACTTCCATGCTTAAAATGTCCGACGGAATTAATGAGATAGCGACCGTGGCGTTGCACGGCTCTCGCTTATTCAGAGTCATACGCTCACTTTACTCAGAGTCATAAATGCTCCTTTTCCAAAGGCTGGCAATATTTTAGAGATGGTAGATTGCAAATCACTGAGTTTGCCCGAGTCATTTTATTAGATAAGATGCCTGTTCGGTTGCTTGGAACTTGCCAGAACATAATTATTTGGGATTCTGGATGTCATCCACAGACTTGATTTTGTTTTTTCAACCAAAACTTGTTCAGCGTATTTGTGAGAACCCGTAACAGAAAAATAGAGTTTGACAATGCAAAACCAAGAAAACAAGTAAACGTAAATACACTGGTCATTCAGCTCCTTCAGTGCTGGTATGATATGTTTGGAAGGTCGAAGCTGGAGCAAGGCCATGCAGTTTGGCAAGGGAGTGGCCTTTTTATCAAAACCACATCTTTTGCTCTCCCTTGAAAATAACTCAGATGCAGTCAAGTCATAAGCCTTTGAAAAAATCCCATATGGCACGTGTTTGGTAGAGATATTGGACATTTAGCTGTTAAAAGGTGCTAAATCTGTAAAGCAGATACTATCATGAAGGTGCATGTTCCTCACACCACTGGTTTCCAACTGCACTGCTCATAAGCCATCCCATTAGGAACACAGACCAGACAAGAGTGGGACCTGGGAAACTGGGAAGAAGGAAACTGAGCTTGGGACTGTAGGGAAGGATCTCAAACGAGGACTGGAGCCAAGAAATGGCTGAACAAAGATCTGGAGCTTGAGGGATGGAAAGGAGAGAGGAGGAGGAGTGGCTGGGACCAGCTGTGGGGTAGTGGGTGGCAGAAAGTCAGTGCTGGAGAAAGGATGGACTGCTGGTCTCGGCTGTTAGGGGCAACAAGAGGTAAAGGATGACAGCTAGGTGAGAACAAGAGAAAACATGTAGGAATCTGAAAAGAAGATCAGAAAAAGAGGGAAACAGTTCTTGTAGGGGGAGAAAGGAAAGCGATTGGTCAAAGAAATTGGGATGCTGAATGGGAAAGAGGGACCACAAGGTGTTGTGGCTTAATCCCAGCCAGCAGCCAAACACCACTCAGCCACTCGCTCACCCTCCCCCCACCCTGGGGAATAGGGGAGAGAGTTTGGGGGGGGTAAGGGTAAGAAGACTCATAGCTTGAGATAAAAAGCAATTTAATAATTGAAATAAAATAAAATTAAAACAATAATGATAATAGTAATAATAGAAAATACAGACGAGTAACACACAATGCGATTGCTCACCACCTGCTGACCGATGCCCAGCCCGTTCCCAACTTGGGATCCCAGAGAAGAGAGAATCCTGAAATCACCATCCCAAAAACTCGAGTGGAGCTTCCCAATCAACCTTTATCTATATACTGAGCATGATGTTAGATCCTGTGGAATATTCCATTGGACAATTTGGGTCCGTTGCTTTGGCTGTGCTCCCCCTGCCCAGCTTCTTGTGCACCTGCACACTAACAGGACATGAGGAGTTGAAAAGTCCTTGATTTCTTAGCAAGAACTGGAACACCAGTACATTATCAACATTCTTCTCATATCAAATCCTGTACTGAATCCAAAACACAGCACTATTCTAGCTACTAAGAAGGAAGGAGAAGAAAAAAAAAAATAACAAACAGCTAACTCTATCCCAGCTGAAATCAAAACACTAAATTTAAATTAGAATAAAAAATAAAACAAAAAGGACTGACTGAGGAGCAGAAGGAGAGAGTGAGGCAAACAGGACAGGACAGACTCACCAGGAGCACCTGGACAAGCCAAGAGAGATACTGCAGGGCTGCCTAGGGTTGTTTGTGGGATCCCTGTTCCCCCCAGCACGGAAGGTGCTCAGGGACCGCGGCGGGACATCTCCTGCCGTCACTCCCTAAGGCCTGTCTGTCACTGCCACCAGACTCCTCAGTGATGCCCAGCACCTCCGACAGACGATGTCTCCCCTTTTCCTGGGTGCCTGTCTCACGCCTCTGACTGCGGCACCCGGGAGTGCTCAGTTCCTCCTGCCACTAAAAACTGTGCTTTGACTATGAGCAGCACTTCATTCGGCTCGAGCCTCTGAAAAACTGGATCCCAGGAACTTCTGATCTTAAACTCAGTCCCTACCTCTCACTGTTCCCCCGGCATAACTCCATGTCCTCCAGGAGGTGATGAAGCTGATTTTTTAAAACATCTGTGCAGATGATGACCACAGTGATCAGCAGTACAGAAGACCCCATGAAAATATTAATCTTTCTGTCCCCAGGGGACTCGCTGGTGGGGAAAGTAAGTATAGGACTGTGCACTGAGAAATAAAAGCTAAGGGTGAACAACTGATTTCTGAGTGCACACTGTCTGTATGAGTGAAGCAGAAAGTCTGCGGCAAAATGGTTTCTGGTCACAAATTAGAGACTGAATCTCAACGTCTAGATCTTTGGGGGGGATGAAATAATTTTGATCTAGTTATGGTGTTTCATAACTTTTGAGTGCCTGACTTTACAGATTTAGCCTTTTAAGGGGAAGAAAGTAGAAGTGTTTGCAAATATTTGTAATGAAAATACAAATAGCTCTTTGTTATGATGTGCTGCAGTGTCCAGTTTCAATATGCACTGTACTAATTATACCTACACAGAGAATAGGGTGCCATGAGAGAGTCCAGAAAGCTTTCTCCAGCTGTTTCTCAACAGATGGAGGGCCAGCATGCGATATGAAGTGAGGTATATATCTGGATATGTATCATCTATTTCATTAATCTCTGTACAAATGTGTCCTCCACATAAATTTCACCATTCAAAAACATCCTGCAACTTTCTTACTGGAAATAATTGTGTTTGTAAAGTTTTCCATGCTTGCTCCATAGATAAGTACTGTTGAATATTAAAGAGACTTCAGATTTGGTAAAGCACAATTTGAAATCTGGGTGAGCGAACAGTTCAATTTCCAGAGCGAGTGAAAAATGTATAAACAAGAGCGTAGATGAGACCATCAGCACACTTACTGCGAGCACCAGAAACCCTACACAAGTATCAGAGCATAAGGATGGTCCATTCCAGTGTGCAGGAAGGCAAGTAAGAGTAGCAAGAGCCCACAAAGAACTCCTGACTTGCACTCAAAGCTGTGCTTCGCTTCACAAGATGGATAGATTTTTCTTTAAATTGCCTTTATTCTTCAGGAAAGAAGTACTCAGTTTTGTACCAAGTTTTTGTACAAGCACTCATCTTGGAAACAAGACAGAGTAACCGATGTGGAGCAACCCTTGTCCCAGGCTTGGGCACCCACAGCACTTTCTGGAAGTGGAATTCACACCCACACTCAGCCACCACTGTCCTGAGGAGCTCTTTTGAACCTGAAGCCACGAGGACTTACTTTTGCTTAGATACTTTGCTAAAAGTCTGCCAGAACGCTTTTTTGTGTCAAGTAAGAAGAGGGACAGGCTGAAGGGAAGAATCAGACAATCTAAGAGCAAACAAACAAACAAACAAATAGATACTAACTGAAGCACTGATGCCTGGAGCCACTTGCTGAATACTGTTAGTATCTAATATGCAAGATGAGAGGAGGTGATTGAATTAAACTTTGACATGAGGGATACAGTTAGGTACCTAATGGAATTACAGGGTGGGGTGGGGTGGGGCGAGCGGGAAGAGAGAGCCTAGTTAATATATTTATCGTGGTCAGATATTGCTCCCAGAAGGAGAAGACAGTTCTGACTCTGAACTCATGCTGGAGACAGCACTGTAAGGAGCACCTTGGCTATTTCTGATATTTGCTGGCATCATATATATTCCATCGGTCACAGCAGTTGTGAATCATATTGTATCATCTGTCTTGGTGAATCCTGGTGCTTCTGCAGACCCTTGCTCTTCGCTTACCTGAATATACTTTCGAAAAACAGCAGACAACTGAAGATTGCCAGAAACAGAAAGAAAGAGAAAATAAAAAAAATATAAAAGAGAGAGAGAGCCACATTCCCACAGCCAAATGGGAGGATTTGGCTCCATGAGAAACAATCTGGAATCCCTCACTTGTTTGTTTCCTCAGCATAGCTAGCAGGAATGTCAGTTTATCCGTGGATAAGTTATCAGCTGGGCACTCACTTGTAACTGAAAGGTAACCTCCAGGTTTGAGGACAGCAGAGAGAGGTGCCACTCAGCCACAGAGAGACAGAAAGGTTAAAATCCCCCCCTGTGATGGGGCGGACGTAGCACACATCGCTGCCCAGGTAAGAATAACCCCCAGGGCAATTCAGAAAGGAGAATGACCTCCTAGGCAGGACAAACCTGGCAGTGGTGGCTCCAAGATGCACAAAAACTGCATTACCCAGCCCCTGCTGAGGAGCAGCGGATGGGACCACTGTTTATATATGTATAAATGTGTGCAGAGGGGAAGGGCTCCCACTTGGCTTGGTCTGCTAAGGACACATATCTCATTTGAAAATTCTTGGAGCAAGCAGTTGAGTGACTTTTCCATAATGACTTAAGCAATTCCAAAAGCATTTATTTTGACTCCACATTAGATGATCATAATAAAGAAACTTCTGCACCTTTGCCTATAATCAAATGTAGTGGGACTACAACCTGAATCTGGGCTCTGTTCATATCCAGGTTTAACTGCATGGAAGGATGCTTTTAATAGCAGCTGTGCCAAGGGGATAATTACTGATAATGCCATGTTTCTTATGCTTTGCAGTGGGAATTACTGAACGAGAGTCATCCAAGTCCTATAATCACCCGTTGGATGGAAAGTCTTTGGTAAGTAAATGCAGCAAGGCTAACTACCACTATCTGATGCATCTTAAAATCTAGTACCTGTCAGCATGTCCCACATTAACAGCATGTCAGTTTGTCACGGTACGTGCAGATTTCAAAGTCTTTGTTAAGGCTTTGAGACATGATTTACGCCGAAGGCTCCTTAGCTGGGAGCTGAGACTGGCACAGGAGAGCTGCCCCTCAGGGAACCAGGAAGGGGTGTGAGATGGAAACAGGCAGGCTCCCGTTCTGGATGCTCAGCCACCTGCAAGAGCTAGGAGGAACTAGCCTCTTGTTTCTCAAGGAATTTCAAATATTAGAAAAAATATAATTTTTAAAGTGGAACAAGCATCAAATAATTCATATCGTCCAGAATGCCAACCTGACATGATAATCAGATAACTCAAAATTGTCAATAAATAGTTGGTGGGAAAATCATCACACAAACCCCAAAATTTTGTTCTGTAATGGACAGACAAAATGTTTTGGTTAAAAATGACTCAGCTTTACTAAAATGCTTTCCCCCCCTTCTTTTTCTTACCAAATAACAATTTTCAAAGTCCCTACATTTTATAAAACCTAAATTTTCAAACAGAAAATAGTCTTTGAAAGGTTTCTGACCAACACCAGACCATGCCATAGAAACTTTATGGCTTCAGATGCTCTTTGGGATGGCTACGATATATTGCTAGCTGGTAGCTGGGCTACCCTCGGGAAAAATTACTGTACAATATTGAAGGTTGGTCAAAATTAATTATATTCAGTGTAATGAAACTAGTTGCACCTATCAGTAATTAACCCAGTCAAATTTCAAAGGATGCTTGCAAAAGTGATTTCAAACATCCTTAAGTTGTGGGATACTTGCAGAGCACACCTAAATGTATCTAGTCCCAGATTAATCCCAGGGGGAATAGCCGTAGACAGCTTAAGACCAGTTACAGTAGTGACAATAATACGAAGAAATTTTTCAGTATTGACGGTAGAATCAGTAAGTGTGTTTATTGCCTGAAATTACAAGAGCACATCACAAATTTTGACATTTTTCCTCTACTTCTGGGCAACCCACACTTTAGTTTACCATCTTGGAGGATACGCCAGTTTCATTGGCGTGTTTATGGGAAAACGTGACTCGGTTCTGGCGGGTAATTTATGATCAAATAAGACAAGGAGGACGTCGATGATTAGGCACTTGTGGGGTTGTGGCAGAACTGGGGCGTGAACCGGGTTCCCCCCACGCCACAGAGCAGCACTCAGCAAAACGGGGAAACATTTCAGAACTCATTTCTGAACTCTCAAGAAACAGCGACAGCTGGGACAGCGGCTCCCCAGCCAGCCGTGGTGGTGGCCTGGAGAGCTGCAAGAGGCAGGTTGCTCAGTCTGCACAAAGCCTTGCCTCCTCGGGAATCTAGACATAAAAACTAGGGAATAAAAAGCTCTGCAAGCTTCCCTCCTTCGATGGGAGGTGTAATTCTTGCTCACACGAGCCCGTGCTGAGCTCAGTAAGACTGTTCATCAGGATTTGTGTGGGTAAGAGTTGGGCAGCCAGGTCCTGAGCCAGCCTGCTTTCTCTTAGGAGATTTACAGGATTTATTAATTTTCCTAAAACCGCCTCTTTCCTCAAGCAGACCTGGGGTCCCTGCTCATCAGTGGTGTTTCCTAACGACGTGCTTTTTCCTCCCACAGTTCCCACCATCGCCAGTTGCCCGTATCACAGGGAAAGCGGCGGCTGTCACAGGCTCGCCCGCAGGCGACGGCACTCCTACAGACCTGTAAGTCCCTTCCCACCCCTCCTACCAAGCCTGGGGGGCTGCCGGCCACAGAAGGGGACGGGGCACCCCCACCATGGGTCACCCTCTCACCAGAAACACAAAGAAGTGGTGTCCTCTGAATTGCAGCTGTAAAACCTCAGTGATTTACAGTAAAGCTGTGCCACTTGCCTCCCAAAGGGAGGGAGAGATTGGCTAAAGGACATGCTGATTATATCATCAGCCATGGCTGTTTATACAGCTGCCCCAGTGCCAGTTACAGCTCTGTTTTATCACTAAAAAAAAAAAATCATCTGAATTTGAAATTTAAGTATTTTCCCCCTTTGAAATCTATATTTGCCCTAAGGCATCTTAGAATATCTAATTAAATATTAAAAAAAAAAAAAAAAGGTTTTATTGTCTTTAAGTATAATTAATGAACAGCTTGACCACAGTACAAATGCACTCATCAGAGGGCAGTTAACCCAGACTTGGATCCGGGTGATATTTGAGATGCTGCCGTTGCCACCTGAGGGACAGGCTCATTGTCACCGTGTCCTTGCATTCCATACACGGAGACCTAAATCCCCCCTCCACGGGTGTACGCAGCCCCCTCGGCCGGGTGGAGCTCGCCCCGCCCGGGTGCCCCTTTGCCCCGCACAGCCCCTGCTCACCCCGACTATCCCGGGGATGGGACCGGTGCAAACATTCCTGGGCGAACGGGCAGCCCTTGGTTTTCGGTGGCAGGGAAGAAAGGCCACAGAGATGAATGCTTTAGGCTTCTGCGCTTCATTTGCTAGTCACGGGCAGCGCTGGAGGAAGACGGCAGAGCACGACCTGACCCTGCCACCGGGAGCAGAAGCTTCCCTACCGCTGACGGGAGGCAGCCTGTGCGGGACCCCCAGCCTCCTGAGGAAGATGTGGATGAAGCACAAGAAGAAGTCGGAGTACCTGGGGGCAACAAACAGCGCCTTTGAGGCGGACTGATAGGGCTCGGCGTCACTTGGGAAGACAGAGGGTCCGCTAGCCAGGACAAGGTGCTCTGGGATCCATGAGGGAACAGACACCGTGCAGCTCATCCAGGAAAACAATATCCTTTTCATTACTTGACGCCATCACCTCAGAGCGATTGGAGAAAGGCTAAGGTAAAAACGGTGGATGCGATGCAACTCACTGGCCTTTCTTTGTTGCAACTGACACATTTAAGGTGAAGAATTAATTTGGTAAGGAAAGCAGTATACTAAAATCCCAAGTATCCCGCTCGACTTACGTCTTGATTCCACGATGCTGAAACTACTGCTGGCCCATTCATCATTTGACACGTCCTGTCTGAATCAGCTCGGACTTGCAACAAGAAAAGCCTGCCAGGCAGTTTGTGTATTCCTGCAAGGTAACAGATCGATTACAAGGTGCCATTAAATCCCAGGGGCCTGCTCATTGTGTACCACTGCTTGTCTTCTTCCCCCTCTCATATCATGAGATGATCACATCTTATATGCTTAGTTGAATGACACATTAAACATTTTTTTTTTCTTCAGTTTTGAAGCTTCGAGATGGAAGTAAAAGATGCAAAAATTTTAAAAGAATGAGTCAGAACTGAGCAAGTTTGCAAACACACATTTACCAAACTTTGCTACGTGACAAATTATTGGTGTTTCAAAGCAGTCAGTTGCCAGATCAAACTGTGAGTAATTGGATAACCTCAGAAGATACTTTCTTCCATAGAACCTGCTTATACGTTAAGTGCTAGACAGCAACTTACTCTCTACCTATGTGGTACAGGTTATTTCACTAAGCACACTGTTGTGGTTTGAGCTAGGAGGAAAAAAAATATGAAAGTGGTGCAACTAGGTGACTAAACATGAGATATTTGCATATAAGAGACCTGTGCTTATGAGAGATGGATTTAATGGAATTTGCTCAAAAATTCTTCTTAGAATTTTTTTCCGTTTAGAAATCGCTGGTCATGGGCCCTTGGGATTTCCTCTCCAAAAAAAAAAAAAGTTTTACGAAAAAGGTTTCACCACTGTTACAGACAGCATTCTGTTAGTCATGAACAGTACTTGCCTCATATGAATGCTCCCCTGATTATTGTAAAAGCCTTTGGTTTGCCTAAAGACAGAACTTTAAATATAAAACTGGAGGAAGCGTATCTCCTGTTGCTCATAGTAATGACGATCTCTAATCTAACCGCCAGTGCTCCAAAGCATAAATTAAAATTAAAGGTCTTGCCCCATGACAGAAGCAGAGGAAAGATGCTCCCGTCTGAAACTTGCTTGCCTGCAGCCAGTGTAGTAAAACACACCAAGGTGCCGTCATACACGGTGCCACGGTACCAAGGTGAGGAGGCTCCAGAGCTGAGAACCCACCTGAGGTCTGAACCGTATGTCAGCAGCATTAACGGCGATTACAGCTCCTTCCCCACCTACCACAACCACCTGGGCAACTTCTGCACTTGGGGTACCCGCTGACTTCGTCCACTGCTTGTGTTAAGATCATCTACCACCTGGACTCGGAAAAAAAGCATATTCTGAATTTCTCTACAGCGCAGGACTGAGGAAGCCTTTGGACTGCGGCTTGCAGAGCTGCAGGCTGGGGCGGTTACCCCCACTCAGGGGTCACCAGCTCAGAGGTACCAGGGTACCGCCTGGATGGGAGGGAAAGGCTGTGAAAGCAGCCGGGTCCTCGGGATTTGGTGTGAGCGGGGCTGGAGCAGCACACAGGAGAGGTTCGCAGCTTGACAACCTGAGCAACCGTAGTTCCACGGGATAGGAAAGCAACTAGAGCGGCCTGCTAGCTCTGCAGAGCAAAGTCCCCAGTGGGTCCAAGGAGGGCAGCAGGGGACACCTGTGTGGGGCTGGGCGTGCTGAGGGGGCAGTAGGACGGGGAAAGAAGTTCTCATTTAAAAAGTGACTATGGCTTTCCATATGGCCAGAGCCAACTCAGTCCAGAATCTGCCAAGGAGGGGAGAGGCACTAGCCCTTCATAAAATATGTCAGTCATCATGCTCAGCTGTCCATCACTGCTTTGGTCATAGGCTTCTCCTTCAGAGGTGCTCAACAACTCACAGAGGACAGCCTTGCAGCTAGAAATCACACAGACTCTCCCCTTTTCCTTACCGAAGGCAAAAGTCCTTCTCTGTCCCAGCAGCCTGACAGAGGGATGATTTGCTCTCCTGCTTTTCTTTCTTCCTCCTGGGAAAGAAGACGACAGTCCCTCATTAACCACAGGCTGAAAGACACCAGCTGCTGGAAAGGCGAGGAGAAGAGGGAATGGAGGCCCAGTATGGATCATGTGTCTCCAGCCACGGCGTGCAAAAGCAACGCCGATGCCTGCTGAAGGCTGCACACCTAAACAGCACCAGAGCAGTCTTCTCACAGGGGTCCACCCCCTCTTTTAATTGGAGCCTGACACGTTGCCCCCGTGTAATTGTCTGGACACCATGACCCTGCCAAAACCAGGTCCTCCATGACTGAACCGAGCTGGAGCCATGGCCAAGATTTTCCTGAAACATCTTTTACAAATATCACCAACCACACTACAGCCCGCTCCCCAGCCCATAGAAACCCTGACACAAGCCTTGGCCTTGCAGGCACATGCTATTTTTACGCATATAGGTAAACCTAGTAAACTCAGTGGGACTACTCTCTTGCACAGCAATGCATACATTCAAGGAGTAGGGAAAACAGTAACCACCAGTTCCCTTTTTTCATCTAATTTCCTAAGCAAAGCAAAAATAAAGAAGATGGACAGAACACTGGGAAAAGTCTATTTGCTGGATTTGTGGTAATTAAGAGAGTATTTGTGGTACTTGCCCTTGTAGATGATGTGACCCATAGAGCACAGCCCAGGGCAGCAAGAATTTTGTCTGTTGAGAAAGCTGTATCGTAGTGTTTCATTTGTTAATTAATAGTGTTAAGCAGTATAAGGATGGAGGTAAAGAGGAGATGATTAACGTTTCTACCTAATAATTTCTGTATTGTGAAATGAGTATTTATGTTTTTCTTATTTATTTAATTTATAATTTGGATCTACAAGAGGAGGAGAGATTTACAAGAAGCATATTTAATTTCTCTGTATTCCAGAAACAGCTGTGGAGATTTCTTGTACTGTAGTAGATACTTATTTTATTGACTCAAATAAAATATGTCCTATTCATAAAAAAAAAAAAATAATAAACAAGTAGCATGAAGTAACCTATGGGTCTCGGTGACTTAAAAGCTTTTGGGAAGCATTTAGTGGAAAGTAAAGGCAGGGTTCATAGCACTGAAGAACATGAACACCTGGTAGCAAAGAACCCCAGTTTTGCTCCCCTCAGGGAGAGCCTGGAAGTGTATGTTTGTGAGCAGCTCCAGTATTTTACAGGTGGTAGAATCATTGTTTGTTATCAGATACTCAGAGAAAAGCCCTGGCAGTGCCAGCAGGTAGACATGAGACACACATTTACACACCTGACCTCACGCGCATTAAGGACACAACATTGAGTCTCACGGTGGCCCTGGGAGGTAAGCAACGTCACCTCCCTCCCATCAAATAAGAACACTAAGACAAAGACTCCTCGAGGGTAGTTAAGGCTCTGGTAGAGAATAAAACCAAGTGCTTCCCATCTTCAGTCCTACCAGCTGACAGTGAAGTCACTTAACTCACCTCAAACACAACATGGTCTCTGGAACCCCGATGCTTAACCATGGCCCAACCCAAGGCGGGCTGCACGGGGATGCAGGAGCCCAGGCTAGGGGACCTGACTCAGGACTGAAAAAGGAAAGACTTTAAGCTACAAGGAAAGAAAACATATGGTGCTAGCATCCTTCACCAATCCAGACTTCGGAAAGCCCATCTTTTAGAGGATGAGTTGTCCCCGTCTGCCACACTGCCCGCAGCCCGTGCAGCTCCGCTGAAACAATGCCACATTTCTGGTCCTTCCATGACAGACAGTGTCTATGTTTAAAATGAGCAACCAGGGAGTGTCCTCTCATTGAGTGTCCACACCGCAGGACTTGGCACAGATTTTTTCCAGGACGTGGGGTAACAACCTGGCCTCTGCTGGGGACTCCTCTGCAAATACCTGACCTTTAGTCATGCATTAAAAATATCGGCATGAGTACGGAAGAGGATGTGGGTATGCAATACATTTTCCAGATGAAACTATACAGAAAGCAATGTTGGGTTGACTCCAGCCCACCATTAGAAAAATGTGAAATAGTGATTAAAAAAATAGTGAACTGTTCCATTTTTCCATCAAAGACAGAAAAGTGGCTAAACTGTGCAGCTGAAAGCATCACCTCTGGCACTGCCTGACACATGCATGTTGTCATTCTTTATAACATCTGTGAGAAGATGCATTTTTCAGATGTGTTTCAGGTCATTTTATAATTTTGGGTTCTTCAGAACTAGGGGCTAACTAGGGCACCGACCTGACCAAAACAGACTGCATGATGACAGTCCATCATGCTCACTGTAATTTATATTTAATTTCCAAAAAAAGGTTTCTAATTTCTTCACATCATTTCAAAAACATCTTTGCGATAGAGCTACTCACTAAAATATCTATCAGTACTTTGCATACCACTTTATTTAAATAAACTGTAGTGAATTTAAAGCGAGGCTACTACATAAAATAATTCCTACTGATGCATGAAAAAAAAAAATCTCAGATATGCTTTGCCCACCTTTCTTCCCCTTTTGCACTCACTTTATAGATCCCGTAGCAAAGAGGTTTGACAGAAGAGCTAATCATGGACACATTGATGTTTGGGGGAATAACACACACTTTTTATAGAAAACATTTTTAACTCAAACATTGGCATCTGCAGAATAGTTTCACATCTGGGAGTTACCCAGCCAGAAAAGTTGCAATATCAGGACTTGCACACACAAACAAAACTGAAATAAGTCAGATTTCTCAGATGAAATCCCTGCTCAGAAAGTTGTATGTGAACTCTACAAACAATGCAGATGTCAAATAGTCATAAATATTTTATAAGAGATTTTCAAAATCTCAGCATTAATTCCACAGATAAGTCATAAGTGAGCAGCTCAACCCTATGTGGTATTGAAAACACTTTCTTTTTTTTTTTTTTAGGCAGCAGGACTATTATTTAAATGAATGGGCACACAGATCATTCAAAAAAAAAAAAAAAAAAAAAGGGTTTAGAAGGAAAAAAGTGAGTTGAATATTTAATTAAGTTAGATGAAGGCCCAGAAAACATCAAGCAGCTGAGCTCAAAGGGGGACAATTCAGGACAAAATGGAAGGATGTGTGAATGATGTCCCTCTTCTCAGCCATCAAGTTGGAGTCACTGTAGAAAGTGGCATCATTTTTAACAGCCTCATCAACAAACCCTGTGGAGCAGGCAGGGGCTCCGCAGCTGACCCCAGGGCAGGAGATCAGGGCAGCCCCTGGTCCCAGCCAGGTGTCTCACCCCATCAGACCTCCTGCCCTGCAGATTCACCTGCCTAACATTTTCCTCCACTTTATTTTAGACCAATATTTTCCTACTGCACCGTCACATTTTGCATAGCAGTGAAATAGTAAGAGGCAGCGTCAGGCAAACAGACTGTGTGTGCTTTCTTTTTTTTTTTTTTTTTTTCTTCTTTTTGGAGGGGTGGGGGTGTGGTTTGCACTGGACCATAAAGCAGAAGAGACATGCAAAGGGCCCCGCAGTGTGCATGGTCCTTCCCCCGCTACGTCTGACGAGGCACTTTTCAGTGCAGCAAGCCCTCAGCACAGCCGCGCCGGGAGCTGATGCTGCGAAACCAGTCACGCTTTGCCAGCAAAAGCAAAAGTGAGGTTCGGGAGGCAACAGCATCCCCGTCAAAGCTGTTGTCTGAATAACAAGGACCACTAAACACAGAGCAACAGCTTCAGAAGTTACAGGCTACTTTAGCCTGGGAGTGCAGTGACAAGCTTACCAAGACTGTATTTAACTGCTAGACTACACAGAAAGTCCTGCAAGTGATTTTTTTTCTAATGAAGACATTTATTAATGTCTTTATTTATTAACCTTTCCTGTGAAAACTGCAACCCTATAACTTCTTTACAACTCTAGCCCAGCGCCCTCATAATACTGGACATTTGTCCTTGTAAGTTAGGATGCAAGCAGATTTTTCAATCACATTTGAAGCAAGTTGGGTAAAGATTTATCTATAATGAACGCTTATAAATGAGGTTCATCAACACTTAGAGTCTTGCAATGTCTATTCTTTTAATCATGATGGTAGCATCTAAAATCCAAGCGTGGCTAATCATTTCTTTAATTGTTTACATTATAAATAGAAATATCAAGTTATTTAGCTAACTACCATATGCTCAAGGTGGGTGAACCCATTAGTGGAAGAGATGCAAAAATTCTAGGAAAAAAAAAAAGAATATGAAATAAGCCTCTGCTCATTTTCCTCCACGGACAGACCCTTTGATGCAGAACCCACCAGCAGCCGGCAATCTGGGCTCCTGTGCCTCAGCACACCCGCCACGCAGCAAAGGCAAAGGTCCATGAGAAGCAGCCATGGGGTAGGAGGGGGTGTGAATGCATGGCGCCACCATTCAGCCTGGGGTTTTGCAAGGGAGCCTCTATTTTGTGACCATTGCACCCACCTCAGCTGACACCCGACCAACACACACTAAGGTAGTTGCTCTTTTTGCAGCCGGTCACAGGGCCCTCACCAGGCATCGGGCCTCCAGGTGGAAAGCAGAGACGCTCAGTAGCCGGGTGGTGCCTCAAGTGATGCTCTTTGTCCCCTGACCTTTGCCACTTAAAGAAACGAGACAAACCCCACCGGTGCGACAGAGGAGTCACCCCACATGTGCAAAACAGCTACGGTCTGGTAGCCACCACGCCGGCACCTGTTTTGCCCCACGCCAATCCCCGCTGCGGGCAAGGAGCGGGAACCAGCCACGCGGTCCCTTGCCAGGGACCCCGAGGAGCGGGAGGGCTCAGCCCAGGCTGCCTTCCCCCCCCAGCCACTGGCACGCCCAGCCGGCCCCGTGTTCCTCCTCGTGCAGGGGAGGACGTGTATCCGTCGGTGTGAGCGTGCAGAACAGGGTCTGACCCGATTTGCATAGCAGCCGCAGCAGCTGGACACATCAAATGCCTCCCTGCAGACCATCACCTCGGATTCAGCTCCCCGGGTTAAAAATACATTCGTACTGCATGCGTTCACTGCCGGGCTGGAGGCACGTGGGTAATGAAAGCTCAATCAGGTTGAGCAGCAGAGATGGAAAGCAGAAACCCTCCGAGTGCGAAAAGCACAGGGGTCAGCAGCCTCAGCCTCCACGGAGGGTTAATAAAACCCTTCCTCACCTGGTCCAGCCACTAAAGCAGGCACCAGCGGCTCGGTGCAGATGGCACACTAAGGAGGAAGACTGTACATCCAGGCTGACAACGAGCATGCTGCAAAAGCAAGAGAGACAGCTTATTCATGCAACTCTTGCTTTCTGGTGTGACCGGCTGGCTTACACCATCCTTGACACTACACAACAGCCCCCAGCAGGCTTCCAAAGTATTATATGAATTACCTGTGCAACCACCGCACGCCAGCACCGTACTGACACGGAGCACGGCTCTGAGACCAGGTCAGCTCTACACAGATTTGCTCAGCTCTGCAATATATCACCACGTTTCAGCAGGGAGAAGAGGTCACCTATAGCTGCTGACACACACAGGGGCCTTCAGATCATCCCACTGGGCTGTCCATACCCAGCTTTTGGGGGTGCATCACCCACCCCCCCCCCCCAAAAAAAAAAAAACCAAACCTGCAAAGATGCGGGAGGATGCTCTGCTCAGAGGTTGGGAAATCCCTGCCCTTTCTGGGTATCCTCTAACAGAGAGGAGAGGCAGGCAACCACCCTGGCACGCAGAGGTAAATGCTGCTTTACCTAGACAAGGGCTTCATCTTCACATCTCTCCCTACATCACCAGCTAACCCGGCTGGCACCATCGCCTTCTGCCTCATACATGGCTGCATTTTTATTAGGAGAGTGTTGGTATTAGCAGGCTTGCAAAATGCTGTTCTGCAAGACATTTAAAGGCTCAGCAAAACCAGACTTCGATAAAATAAAAATATACTCCAGCTAATTTGAGTGCTCAAAAATAAGGTAGAAAAATCTCTTTGCTGTGATAAACCTCCTTGCTTTTATAAAAACACAGGTAGGAATTGTACCACAGCCACCAGGCTGAA